CACTATTTCGTCGCAGTCACAGATCGTCGCCTGTACATGGCGGGGCACTGGCTCGCTGACAAGGATAAAAGCAAAGGGGAAATTTTCCAAGGAAGGAAAGGAGTACTGGAATTCCTCATTTCTATCAGTTGGGGAGGGGAAAGGGAAGGGAAGAAATATGTCTCTGCCTGTTTCCGCGTTTTTTTCTATGCTGCACCGTTCGAATGCAAAATTGAGTTTTCATGAGCATGACACTGGAACGGTCACATTGGGTGAAGTGCATTGAGTGACATGCACCAGATTCGTTTAACTTTAAACTGATTCGTTTTCATAATGGGCGTCTATGGGGATAAGTTTATCTCTGTTAAACTGATTCCCATAAGGTACCATTGTGAGATCAGATTAGTTTAGCTTAAATAGATTCGGTACATGTCACCCATTATCTGCAGTAGTGGGTTTTTATCTGCGGACCGATTTCGGAACATTTGGGACCTACGCGGATCGAACAAAGGAAACATAAGGACTATGAAATAGCATACCTGTTTGAGTTATCGAACCGTGAAAGGTAGGAGGGGTGTGGTTTGCACAAAAGAGCGACTCACCGTGTTGACTTATCACTTCTTTACTGATTCACGAGCTGCGATCGACGACTGGTGGTTTTTAGAACTTCGATCTCGGGAGTCAGCTAGTGCCATGCTTGGATTCGGACGTCATCATGCAGTATATTATCCCGTCCCGAAATGCCCTCGCGACGAGAGAAGTGCGACGATCGGCGTCTGCGACGAAACCGTACTCGGACCGAAGATGCATGCGACTCGATGTCCGCAACGAACCGTCCGCGACCGTTTTGGCCACCACGAAATCGCCGGTGACCAAAACGGATCGGCTGGAATCGGATCGGCTTAGCGCTCGAACGAAATGGGTTCCGTGTCACCACAAACCTGTTAAAAGCCACGAGGCGCTTGACCTTGGCGCCCCCCCTTGGGACGAGAACGAAAAGACCTCTCTGGTCCCTCGACGACGTTCACATCCTTTCCTTTTGGTTTCTACATTCGGCCGAAGTACGAGAGTCTGGATTCTAACCGATCGTTTCCCCCCGAAAGAGACTCGTGAAAAGTAGCTCATTTTCGGCACGATAGTGCTTCGTGGCCAAATCTAAACCGGGTATATACTAGGTACTCTTCACCGTATGACTTGCCATCCTCACGGCTTATGTAAGAATCTGCGATCTCCCTTCCCTTCCCTTCCCCCTAAATTTCTCAGTCCACAGACCGACTCGGAGCAAAAAATTCCAGGATCGATTTGAAGACGTGAGGCACGGAAGGACTTTTCTGCATAGGGATGTGTCATTTTCGGGTCCCAAATACTCAGGTAATACTGGAAGTGCTGAGAAGTACTTTACATCCAAAGCTTGCAAGTCCACCTAGAACAGTGGTATTCAAAGTGCGACCCGCGGGCCGCATGCGGACCACAAAGACTTACTAATAATATACTTTTTCACACTTGGCTGTTTCATCGGGATTCATGAATAATCGCTATTTACAATTTTTTTAGGTTCTAGGTTCTAGGTTTATGAATCCTTCGCTGAAAATTAGCAAGTTTAGTCATTGTTTAGATATTTAGGTACATATAATACATGTTTACATTTAGACGCTCATGTATTTAAGTGTGCACCTGCTAAATGCCTAACATTCGGAGCATCCATTTACTGCAGAGAAAAATGCCTTTCCCTGCAAGTTTAAGCAAAAGAAAGGAGTATTTATCGAAAACACAACTTGTAAAGAAGCAGCACCTAGAACCGATGCGTTTATATGAGCCCTGACTCCAAGGTTGATTTCAAAACGGCAGTTCAGTTGCAGTTCGGTTCTAGTTTCAGTTCAGACTACTGTATAGTCTGACTGTAGTTCCATTGTGGTCTAAGCGACCATTTGCATGACAAAATCCCAACTGGAACTGCAACTGAACTGTGAATTGACTGCGGTTTTGAAATCAGTCCAAGTATTGGCAATTTTCGCGACTACGGGGGGTGGAAGTGTGTCTGGATGCGGTAGGAATAGGTAGTTTTCCATTGCTGCTCATTTTTAAAATGGAACTTTCCGGTTTAGAGTAGCTTGACCACGAGATCGATGTCTAGATAAAGGGTTAACGTAACAAAGAGTACTTTCCATCCAAAGGACAAAGCCCCAACTGGAGTAAGAACCGATTTATTAAATTTCAGTAAAATGATGGACTTGCTTTGGGATGACCATGTGTCTTCAGTGAAAAAAGTTCCGAGGGGGGGAGGGGAGGGGTTAGGGTGGGGTGATGGATAGCTGAGATTCTGATTTTTCAACTCTTTTTCTTCTCTTCTTTCATGTGAGAAGAGCTCGGATACAGCGATGTCTCGATGTTCTATGTTCTGAGTGTCAGTCACCCTGACCCCACCCTGCCCCACCGAGTGTCATACCCTGATCCCACCCTGCCCCACCGAGTGTCACACCCTGATCCCACCCTGCCCCACCGAATGTCACCCGGATTCCACCCTGCACCTATGTGGGGCACCCCGATCGGACCGACTTTAAGCGAACCTCAAATATGGGTAATCTTGTGGTCGGTTTGGATACACCTTGAGGTTCATCGCTCCAATCAAAAATGAAAAGTCCGTCATGAGACTTCTGACGGGAGATTTTTCCCGGTTCGAAGCCTCGCCGATGACGTCACCGATGACATCTGTCGTGCGTTATCCAAGCGGAAGGACGAGTGCGTAATCAAAACGAAAGTATCGAAAGTATTCATGGAAAACGTGATTTCTACCATTGATTTCCTCGAATCTTTTCCGGTTTGCTGGCCAACAGGTAATCTATTATATATGAGCAAAGAAGAGAAACCCGGAAATGTTTGCATCGTGTTCCCAGCAGTCCGTTGCAAATGACTTGTTACTATTGACCGAGGAGCAACAGCGATCGATGAAACTGCTTTGTGCACAACCTAACCGGTAGGAATTTATCGCAAAATGGAAGTGGTGGACGGAGAATTTTTTTGTCAAAACCTGGAAATTTAAATAGTGGATCTGGACGGGTGGATGTTATCGTCACGGACGCGAACTTCGCTGCCGTTGACAAAACTCTCCGAGCGCAGAGAAACGTGCATATGGATTTTTCAGCTCCCCGTGTTTGTATTAGCCGTATAGATCCGTTCGCACGATCGTGCAAGATTGCTCACAGTACCGCATATTGCGTGCAAAGTGGATTTCAAATCACCTGGTTCGGGCAGCAGCTAACATCCATTGTGGTATGAAAAATTGGACCAAGGGATGGAAGGAAGGGAATAAGGATGCTCATATGGATATTTTTGAAAAATACCCACAAAAATGTATTTAACACGTTGGCGACCATGCGTCCTGATGGCAGGACGCATTTTTTGACAAAAATAAATGCGCGTGGTCCCACGCGGCGGACAAGCAAAAATAGGCTGGTCGTCAACGTGTTAAAAAGTAATTCCTCGATCTCATTTGATAGAAAGTACCTGTATATACCAGTCATACCGGGTGGCGCAAAAAAAAAGCGTCGTGTTTGACGCCTAATAAAATTCGTTGTGGATGATCTAGGTTCGTGATATTTTTCATATTATATTGGAAACACCAGAAAATTTGTTTTTTGGAAGTTTCATGAACCTAAGTTGTCTGAATAAATATCGACAGTCGCCCAAAGTGGAGTCATAAAATAGACCTTTCTGCGCACGAGGAGGATGGAGTTTCAGGACCGCTCGAATGATTTCTCTATATTGACGTCATAAATATCGCTTTGTATGCCAGTTCTCATAGTAGTATTCAACACATCGTAGAATAGTACTACTGTCGTACATTGTAGCATCAGAATCGATACCACGCAGAATACTACGATGAGAACTGGCGTAAAAAGCGGTATTCATAACGTCAAGGGAGAGAAATCGTTCGAGCGGTCCTGAAACTCCATCCACCTCTTGTGCGGAAAGGTCCATTTTACGACTCCACTTTGAGCAAACTGTCGATATTTATTCAGACAACTTGGGTAGATGAAACTTTCGGGAAACAAATTTTCTGGTGTTTCCAACGTAATACGAAAATATCACGAACCTATGTCATCCATAATACGGTTTTTATTAGGCGTCAAACACGACGCGTTTTTTTTGTGCCACCCGGTATAATGATCGCTAAACTGATTGAAAGCCGCAAAAGTCGGAAAAAAGCTTCCGTTCATTGCTGCTTCCGCCGCACCGAGTCTCCGAGTCTACTCAAATCAACTGTCCACTCCTCTTCTCTCCAGCTTTCGAAAAAGTTTTTACAGCATAAAAAAGAAAAAATTCTCACCTTTGGATGGTGGATTTCAATGCTCTTTTCATTGATTAGAAAAAAAGACTATTTACATTGGCATGACTGCTCAAGTAAGTAGCTTGTAAGTCAGCCATATTGGAAACGCAAGTACTTGAAACGTGACCGTGAAAAGGTTAACAGTCAACTATTCAGTCCATCGACAGTGATTGCAGGAGCTGTGTTCGAGTGAATGGGATCGGTTCCAACTCATTCCCGGTACGTGTTGGACTCCGTCAGGGTTATATTCTCTTTCCTGTTCCTCCTGTACATGGATCGGATCTTATGGCGTAACCTGGACATTGAGGTGGTCAGCATCGGTATATCTAAGTCAAGATGTTTCTCTTTGTCGATGATGCCGTCCTTTTGGCCTGGTCTCGACGGGAGCTTCAGGGCGTGCTCGACCGGGTTCGACTCGGAGTGTACACTGAAAAATAATGGTTTTTCCTGGAACTGTTTCTTGGTTCTAGGGTGAAACTTTCTTGGAACCATTTCATGGTTCTATAGAGAACCACTTACGAAGGTGTCACTTAATACCCTCTGCGAACGACATGGTTCCACAGAGAACCATCACTCAATGCAGCACTCATTTCAAAGTACTATAGGGCACTTTCTCTTATGAAAGAGTCCGCTGGAAAAAGTTGCCTTTCGGCACTGCCGAAATATTAGGATTAGGAAGGTGCATTGTCAAATCATGGAGTTTGCTGGATTCAAATAAGTAACAGGGACAAATGCAAATTGTAATGCCTTTAAATGAAACCAAAGGGGTGCTGTATAGACTGAAAATCTGAAAGTGAAATTCATTCATCCACGTCGATGTCCATTTCCCTTTAGTTCTTCAACATGTGCATTAGCATTTCCATGTCGTATTCCATCGTTCAGGAAGCTTTTAATCTTCCTCATACGCGGGAAGAAGTGTATCTTCCTTCACGATGACAGAAATTACGAAAATTCATTAGTCCAATGGAATTCCATATACCCAAGTCCAAAACTTGATGTCAAATCAATGAACGTCGGGGGGGATGGGGACCTTTCGAAGTCGAGGTGAATACTGGATGAGGCAAGGAACAATACTAATCGAAACAGGCGTCACCTTCGATCCAGGTTTCACGAAGGGTGACAGCACTCAAAGCATGAGAAGTGGCGTATTAACCCTTATCTGGGAAAGGGAAGTCCATCGGACTCACTGACTCACATTTTATATCTTTTTTCGATTTATATTTACGAGGGAAATATTGGGTTGGAAAGAAAGTCTTGCAACACTTTCTAAAACTATTTATAAAAATTTTCAAAGGAATGATGGGCGGGGCTTTGCATTTGTATATGCTGGAATGTTCTCGAAGCTTCTGCCCTCGGGGTATAGAAGGCGGCTTCTGCCATCAGTTGGCAGCCATGGCTCCGATCGAACGAGCAACTCTTCGTCCCATCGTCTACTACGAGTTCCTCCAAGGACATTCTGCGAGAGCCGCCGCGTACAACATCTGCGCTGCATTCGAGGGCAACGTCGTCCACTGGTTGAAACGCTTCGAATCTGGCGACACGACCTTCGGAGATCGACCACGCTCAGGACGTCCATCTACAGTCGATGACGAAGCCCTGCGGAACGCCCTCGACGCGAAGCCGAACGCCACCATTCGCGATTCGGCGACTACACTTGGAGTCACCCATATGGCTATCGGCAACCATCTGAACGACCTCGGCTATCGGAAGGTTTACTCGACATGGGTCCCTCATCGGCTCGGCGACTCTGACAAAGCAAGCCGTGTCAGTGTCCGAATCACTGCTCCTTCGTCCGCACAGAAAGGACCTTCTGAAGGAAATCGTTACTGGAGATGAGAGCTGGGTCCTCTACGTCAACCATACTCGCAAGAGTCAGTGGCTNAATGAATAATACAATATTGGCCGAATATCGGTCCAGTTCAGGACCAGTGAAGCCTACGCTTTTCCGTAATGCCAATATAGGCCCAGATTAAGTGCCCGTGAAGCAACGTTTTTAATCAACATTGCAGCAACATAAATCCTGAAACGTATCTGCAACGTATATGTAATGAATAAGTAGCGATTTGCAACGTAAATGCAATGTTCCTTCCCAACATTTGGGCAACGTTGACGTTTTGGACATTTACACATAGATGCAACATTGTTCATCAACATTTCCTAAACGTTGCTAGAATATCTTGTGTTACTTGGGTATGCCCGGTGCCCTGGAAAAGGATCAAGGCCAATAGATTAAATTTAGGGCCGCTAGATTGATTAGAAAGTGGGTTTTCTCACGAACGTTTTCTCTTTCGATGGGTTGGGATTACATTGGCTTGAGAGAAGCTAACGAGTCTCATCCAGGCACTTGATATCGTTAAGGGTATCGATAATGTGGAGCGCAGTAGGATTTTTCAACTCTGTGGTGAGAGCAGAACGAGGGAGTACCATTTGAAGGTACTGCGTAGGCCTCAAGTGAGACCTTTGCAATAAAATGACTTTTTACTCGTCGGGAAGCGAATGCGTGGAAGAAGTTAGGTGACGATGCCGTAGTTTCCCCTTCCATGGATAAGTAAAGGTCGGATGCATTCATGGACTAAAACAAGAAGAGGTAATACAGCTGTAAGTTACTAAGGAAGTTACCGAAATGCTCCCACAAAAAGATTTATCTGTATTGAAGCTGGTAGGTCTATCTTAAAATTAGGGGAGAAGGGTTTAGATGCTCTCGACTTCGATGAATTCGGGATGTAAAATACCTCTACACCAATCTTAATACTGGCTCGGTCGGCGCCCAGGATAAAAAGGACCGCAGTAGCTGTGGTGCTCCTAGTGCAGCTAATGTTAAGTGTCCCACTGGAGCACTGGCTCCTGCCGAACACTTGAAAATCCATAACGACTTTTTCCTTAGCATCAGAAATTATGACGCCAGGGCCATCCACAATGGCCAATATGATCCTTCCGTCGAAGCACCCTTAGATGGGAATGGCCAAAACACTCAGCCCCGGACGGATGCGGTAGACTCCAGAGCTAAGACGTGATTTAATAGACCTTTACCAATCCTCATAGTCCGATCGGAGGGGCTATATGGCTAGACTCCATTCAAGTTGGTGTGCAAGGCACCCAATATTGAACCATTTCTCGAAACATCTTCGAAACCAAGCCAAGATTCTTCGATCCAACAGTAAGAAGGCCAGTGCGGTAGTACATCAGCTTCGAACTCAGGTAAGAAAGCTACTGCATCAGTCCGATGTGCCATTGCAACTGTGGGAGCTGCAGTGAAAATTATCGCCACCGCAAGGTCCTCACTGCCAATCGTAACCACCACCCAAAGGCATCATAAGTTCAGAGCGTGTATCTCCCTTGTCATCAGGGAGGCCGGAGTTTATTGAGCCTCGAACATCTTCACGACCGTTTACCCCTTGGAATGACTTGCAGGGTGAATCTGTCTGAAGACCCACTGTTGAAGCTCTTCAGAGCTTCATCAGTTGAGAGCGTCCCAACGTTAAAATTTTTTGGAACTATGCTCACTCCACGACCAGACTGCTCACCGCTAGCATTACTCTATTTGATGTGGCTGAGAAGGAGATCTATGTGATTGAGTTCTCCGGCCCATCTGAGAGGAACATCTGTTGCAAGGAGGAGGCAAAAAATATAAAAATACCAAGACCTAATGTTCGAGTTCCGAGGTCAGTACCAAGGCAACCACGTGCATTTGGTGGTCCAGGTAATGGGCTGCTTTGGCAGCATGAAGAACACACTGTCCACACAACACAGAGACGTCCCACCCAGTGGCATAGGGAAGGGGAGGGGGGGGGGGGGGGCGGGTTTAGGGGGTGAGAACTCCCTTGGGCTTCCTGTTCAATGACACCGACAGGCATATATCAAATTCCTTGGGAATTCCAATTTTAGCTATGCCCCTTCGAGGAAAGTCTGATGTCTGTCCACAGACCAAAGATGCAAGACCATGATTTCTTTGAAAAGGTAAATTCCGGGTAGTGGAGCTAGGCGTAGGGTTGGGGTGTCAACCTGGCCTCAACCCCCCCCTTGCTGATTTCCTGCCTACGCCACTGGGACTCCTAGGGTTGTCCCCAATTGGACGAATTGTCTCAAGATCTTCATGGAGCAACTTGAAGACATCGTTAGTCAACTTATTTTCGATATCTTGAGGGGGATGTCTTCGGGACGTCGTAGGGGCGTCCTTTACACATCTTAGTCGAATTTTTCTCGATATCCCAAGAGGGAGGTCTATAGGGCACATTTCAATCGAATGCCTCTGGATCGCCCAAAAAGGAAGTCTTAAGGCCATCCCTTTTGAAAGAGCGTTTGACTGAAAATACAGGGTGGGCCAAAAGTTTTTGCCCCTGTATAAAAATGTGAATATCTCCTGAACGGTTTGGGCTACAGAGTCGAAAAAAAAAACTAAAAGAAAGTTCATTTCATCTTCTTTCTGAAAATGTTTTGTTTTAGGTTCCTATTTTCAAACGGCCATGACTCATCTCCAAATGAATGTAGGAACCTAAAACAAAACATTTTCAGAAAGAAGATGAAATGAACTTTCTTTTAGTTTTTTTTCGACTCTGTAGCCCAAACCGTTCAGGAGATATTCACATTTTTATACAGGGGCAAAAACTTTTGGCCCACCCTGTATATTCAGGGTGTCCCATGAAGACCGAGGGACAGGTTGAAGAGATCCCTAGAATGTCTTTTTACTTTGAGGGACCTATCCGCAAGCCTGAGGACGGAGGAGACGAATTTCAGGTGCGTAATCTTGATAGATGTCACCCACGTGCTCTGATCTCCAACCTCAGATCATTTCTATCAATTTTATCCACTTGATTTGTATAAAGGAGAAGTAACGATTTTCGTACTGTGCATCAGGAAAACGGACGCTAAGGCAAGTGAAAATTTTTGAGATCCTCATTCATTCCGTCATATTCTCAGTAATGACGTCTGACCGACATGTCTGGGTACAACTATCCTGGTTGGAGATCCGAGCCAATGTTTCATTCGAAAAAAAAGTCTTCTTGTATCGTTCTTGAAATTAAGGAATTTATATTTAAAACATGAGTTTAATTTTACCCCATAGAGATGAGTCCCCTTTCTTGGTGGGTTTTTTCAAGAAAATGATTTCTCCCCTTGGAATGATCCTGCACCTTCCATTTTGATATCCTTAAGATGTCCCTAGTAGTTATTTCTGGCATTTCTCTCTTGTCCCATGGGGATGTCTCTGGGACATCTTTGAGATGTATTTGTGCTGTGAGGGTAGTTACGGGATTGGAGAAGATCCCAGTCTGCAGGTTCAAAGCTTTCTGATCGGCTTGCGGCATGCAGAAGGCTGTACCTCAGGGATATCCTGCAGTTCCTCCGCATTCACGATCTGAGTTCTTCAGCTGAGCCACCTATCGCCACTAGTGGGACCTGGTAAGTTTCTTCTGTGTACCCGTTGCCCTCGTGTGAATGGCCACACTGAAGCTCCTGTGGTCAGGATGAAAGAGGGTAACTGGTATATTCCACCAATAACACCATGTGTTGAGACGATAACAATAATAATATTTCCTGGAACAATAAACAGATCGGAGAAGACAAGATGGACAATGAAAAAATAACCGTTTGGTTGGTTTTCTCAAGGGGATAAGAATTGAGATTACTCACGAAAACATGAGAAGATTCAAGAAAAAAAGGGGGAACAATAATAATTAAATTTTAAAACATAACTTGAGAAAACATGAATTGAAGTAATAAGAGAAATTCTTTCGTTTAAATGGACAAAAGATGGTGAAGAAGGCAGACAAGAGTCACGAAAGGGCAAAAACGGGCTTGAAAAGAGCAAACAAAGGAGAGAAGCCAATCTTTGATCATATGAAATAGGTTTGTTTCTTGATACGGTACCCCCATTGTTATTATTTGCGATATCATTTTGTTTCTTGTCATTGTGATGCACTCCATGGTTCTCCAGATCCATTTCAAATGTAGCAGGAAGAAGGAATAATTCTCCCAGCAGCAAGGGAGGCATGTTATTGGGCGGTGCTGTCACGCTCACGTGTCACCTCCCAGCCATTCCCCGCCTTCCTCGTATGCAGTGGCACCCTTATATGCCTTCTCGTAGCGGCAAACCTGCATGTCGTTCCTCGCCACTAGTCCAGTGCAAAATTCCCGGCATGCAACAGGTGCTTTGTGTCTTACCGCAAGTAGAATAGACAGCAGGAGACGCCTATTCTTATGTAAGCCTATGTGTGCATATGCCACTACCTGCGACTCTAAACTCTCTATCTCATTGCTTGGCCTTAAAACTTCAGAATAAAATTACAGACGGTGTCCCATGCCAGCCTTTAGTGTCTTGTGCCTTTAATAGTCATCAGAAGACGTATCAGCAAACCTGGATGTGATGCAACTAAGGGTTAAGCATATGATTAGTCAAAATAACCTCTTCTGGGTGCTGGTGGAATCAATTCTACTGATTAACAAATCATGAAAAATGATGTAATATGGCCTACATTTATTAGATTTTGCATACTTCTTCAGAGGGAGAAGCTGGAATTTTGTAATTGCTGACGAAGCCACAATGAAAACTATAGTTTCAGAATTTTAATGATTAGGACACTGTTCATGTGATGCTTGAAACCCATGTTACTCACAAACTCTTAATTGAATGAAGCTCCAGTGGACTATTCCAATTCACCAGTTATTGGCTGTATCTAGGGGAGTCCTGGATCTAGATATATCCAGGACAAACACCCCATCCCAAGCTTATTTTGGGTTATGCTGTAATGGGACCCTTTCTGTTTAACATCCAACCATTGGGCTTCATTAATATCTGAAATTCTGTTGAAGTGGATGTAAAAAAAAAAAAACTAAACAAAAAGCTAGGGTGCAGGCTGGACTCAAACCTGCAATGTTCAGTCAGGTGTCTAAGTCATGAACCATTGGGCTAGAAGCTCTGGCTCTATGAAGGGGTAATTAATAAGAATATTGATAGAATAACAACAATGCTGCCCTAAATATAAGTGGATCCAGGGCAGCCTTGATATTGCCACTATTTTCACCATGTCAATCATCTTGACATGGTGAAGATCAACATCAACCCCATTGACATTCAATGAGGTTGATAGTCCCAACTTTTAGGCTGTGTAATTTTCACCTCCAAGGGATTGAACTCCATCTTAATGCTGTTTTGCAGCTTATCTGAAGTTGCAAAAGGAGCTGATGTGCTGATTTTATTAAAATGTTTTCTTGTACATTTCTTATCCCTGGAAATCATCACTTAGGATGAATGCTAATAGGAAAGTTTTTTTTGCCACTTCTTATTAGTTTGATGCCTAGTGGCACAAGAACATCCTTTGTGCATCTTTCACTTGATGTTTTTGTTTGTGACTGGTAATGGTTGATGCCAACCTGAAATATTATTTTATTTCAATTTATAACTCATGACTGGGTGGACAATTACCAAGTTACCCAAAACTAATTGTAGTAATGCATGATTTGTACTCAGTTGTTCCCAATCTCTATAGCTAAGTATATCTAATAATCTTTTTTTTTTTCTGCTGATATAGGTCTTGCTCAGGCACTTGGCTAATTGGAGCCTTTGGACTATATCTTATCTTAGTCTGGTATTTGCTGAAAGGACCTTGATGAATCATTAACTGATCACTTCACACTAGCCTTCAGTGATGGATACAGTAGGCATATTCTTCTACCTGTCATACTTGGGCCTGCCTCTCCTGACTGCCACTGAATCTGTTTTCAATGATGGAGGTGAGTTTTTTGTTCTATTGATTGAGGTGCTAGGGGGTGTAATAAGCATAGATCTGGCTTAATGCACTGACCATGGCCAAGAATGTTTTATCATTGCCTTATTTACCTTAGACCCAGACCTAGGTTTATCTTAGGTGATGGGGTCTTGCCCATCTTTATATCTAGTTCTTGGGCAGTATACCTGACCTAGAGTTAACCCTGCCTGATGGGGAAGAGTTTCCTTTGAATCATTAACTAAACCCAATGTTTATGCTAATCTCCCATTTTTAGTGTCATTAATTTCAAACAAATGGAAACTGGAATTCTAGATCAAACTTTTCCATTGCTTGTATCCTACAGACCTGAAGACTATTTGCAGGGAACTTTTCAAAGGCAGTATTGTTTTTTTTCAAAGGCATTGTTATTGGCAATCTCGCCTGCATGAATATCTGACCATGGGCATTGTTTGTCAGACCTGTTACTCAAATGGCTTTCTCAAGACTTTCTAATAAGAAGGTGGTTCTTTAAGAATCTGATTTTGCAGATGCTTTAGAAAAAATATCAGTTATAAATTATATAATGCATCAAATCATCTCGAATAGCTTAGGTTAAGTTGTACTCTAGCTTTGGTTTGTTAGGCAAGAATGGCTGAAAGACAACCTGGCATTTTCTCTGTGTTCAGCTCCGCTGATCTATATGTAGATGACATAGTTTGGCCCTGGTAAACTTTCATCTCCAGCTCCATTATTTACACATTTTTATTATTGAAAAACCATTAAGAGTACGTACATGTAAAGAATGTGGTAGAATAAGAAGTAAAGCCAAATGCATCCAGTTACTCTTTGCATTGTGATTGACCATTTTGATGATGTTAAAGGAAGTAAAAGTGGAATCCTGACAATTCATTTTTAAGATATACTTGTAATGAAAATACTAAACACTGGTGGACCCCTTCTCATGGGAACCCAAACCCCCTAGGCATACCTAAGAGGACAAAAAATAGAATGATGTCATATCCCTAGTAATATTGCTGAAGTATTGTGACAGCATTGCTTGATTCCCCCCCCCCCCCCCCCCCCCTCTCCCTTCCCAAATGGGCAGCATCATCTGAAAATCATCTATAGTGATGTGTCCCATAAAGTCATTATCCATGTCAAGCAGCCATAATGCTGATTTCATCCTTCTTTACAGACATTCCGATCGTGGAAGGTGTGCGCAACTTTGACATTCCCAAAGAAGATGGCATCCTTGTGCTGAATCAGGAAACCTTTAATCAAGCATTGATCTCTCATAAATTTGTCCTTGTGGAATTTTATGCACCATGGTGAGCTCTTAATCATTCTACAAGGGTGGTTCAAAAATTAACTGCACTTTTTATTCCTGAAAATCTATGGTACATCTGATCTTGATGAAACTACGCCTCCTTGAGGTATTCCCCTCCTACATGGATGTACTTGTCCCATTACTTTGGCAACACCTGGATGCCAGAGGCAATAGAATACGTATTGTCGAGTGTGTAGCAACTTTACCATTTCATCTTTGTCCTGAATTTTTTCAGTGGAGGCAATCTAAAATGTCACCATTGCATGCTTGAGCTCTTTGATTCTGGTGTAAGGCAATGAATCCAAGTTTCATCACTTGTCAAAATGCAGTTAAGGAAGTTGTCTTTTTCTTCGTTGTAGCAGTTGAGATGATCTGATGCTATGGCCACTCTGTTAGACTTCTGACCTAATATCAGTTCTCTTGGTACCCATCTCATAGTCACCTTTGTGTACTTCAAGTAAATGTGGATAATGTTTTCGACACAGCCAATGCTGATGTTTAGTTCTGCAGTAAAATCTTGCACGGTAAGGTGGCAATTCTCCAGAATCATTTGTTCAATTTTGTGGATGTTCATAGGATTCTCAGTCTCATTTTGCAGTCTCAAGCAGGTGGCTGCACTCAAGGGACTGTCAAGGATTCTTGCACTGATCAAATACACTTCTCCTTGACAGTCCTAGTCTCCATAGATAACTGTGCTTGTTATCTTTGAAAAATATCAGCTGCCTTCACATTCTTTTTCATGTGAAATTATATTATACAATGCTGTTCAACCACTGAGGATACAGGATCAGATGCTGCATCCATCTCACTAAATTGAGCATGTGCAAGGGTTGCCAGTCTTGGTGTAGAGCACAGAGAGAATTGGTACTATTTGTCTTATTAGAATTTCAGTTTCTTTTCTGCCCTATTGATTTTCTAGAATAGAAAGTGCATGTAAGTATTGAATCACCATTGTATATGCAAATGTATAAGGCCTAGAGGTTATCTTCATGGCAAGTTTGAAACTGTATGATTGCAGTGAGCAGCATGGGTTATAAGCCTAGGTCATTTAACCCTTTCATGGCATGTGATCATTATAAGTATCATATCTTTTGAGACTGCTCTTGAGTTACTATATTTTAAAAACTGGTTTTAAATTGTACCAGTTGATAGCTCTTGATGAGGGTTATTTGCAGATACACAGTTTGTTTGAACAGGCTGTTATTCAGGCAAATTAGATCAAAAGCAAGGTTGTGAAGAGAAATTTTGCAAATAATTTCCTAGTTATTCATCTTAATTCAGCCATGAAAGGGTTGAAACTAATCCAGAGTTTGCAAGTTATGTTTTAGACCTAAGCCTACATGAGGCTTAAGGGCTTCCCTGTTTGCCTATGCTTCACTTTCCTGTCATGTCTTTTTCAACTGTGACTCTCCTCTGTAAATGCAAATTTCTGCCTCCCTTTGCAACATCTCCATGAATGGCAAGTGATATATATCCACAGTGATGAGCAAGCAAACAAGCAGTATATGATTTGAAAACATCTTTCTGTTTAATTTTGCCATGAGGTATGGCATGGTGAGTCAAGGATAAGATAACTGATGCTGTTGCTTGACTTCCCTTCTTATTAGACAAAAAATGGATGGGCATCTTAATTTGTGAATGGAAGACAGAGACACAAAGGGTTATAGGAGACACAACACAAGGGAGACAGGGTTAGAGACACAAAGATGTTGAGGAGTTATTTTCTTAAGTAGAGCCAGGTGAACCTGGCTCTACTTTCAGACTCTGATTCCAGACTTAGACCTGGGACAGTCCCAGAACAGCCCACAGAATGGCTGGGTTGCATGAAGGTGCTTTTCACTGCAGGATGAAGGTGAGAGTCACTGTTATGACAAATCCCAGGGAATGCCTATCCTAGGACTACCCCTGAGTATCATATCTCAGTTGAAACAAGGCTAAAATGTCACCTGCTTGTGGAATCTCTTGGCATACAGCCCAGCATGGATACCAAAGATGTCAAACCTGTAAAGCTCATTAAAATAATTTGATTTTGGTTGTGTTTATTGGGATCTGCTGCTCCTCATGGCCGAATTGGAAACATTTTGAAGTGCCTTAGTTAAACAGCTGCTGTGGGTTTACTCTGGTAGCTAGAAATTGACCATTTTCATGGGGCCAAGAGAAAAGATAGATGGATACATGGTATGATTTGTAGACCCCTGCTTCATCTGGAAGTTGAAAAGTGAATGCAAAAATCTTGGCCTATTTGACCACCTGGTATTTATTTCATGGCTCTTTCAATGTCCTAGGACCAATTGAGTAAGGTTGGGGTTTAGGCTATAGAACATATTAGAGGTAAAATGTTGAGCTCTTTCATGCTCTCTCCAGGATGGCATTCTTTTGTATCTGACCTTTGTTCCACTTCCAACACAAATAAGCAATGAATTTGACTGCAGGAAAGTCTTGCTCTTTTTTTAATTTTCACCAATAATAAATTATAGCATCTGAAAGGCTCCAACTAAAGCTTGCTAATATTTCTCAGTTTGGTAGGCTCAAGAAATTTCTAACTGCTATGCAAAGTTTCAGTATACAGTGGTACCTCGCATAACGAACACAATTCGTTCCAGCGGTGCGTTCGTTATGCGAGGTACCACTATACTTACCTTTTGAAATAGCTACATCAGCTAATAAGCTTCCACAGATTAGTGGGTGGAGTCCTAAAAAGTCCTTATGATGTGATTATATTATGTAGAGCCAGAGGCAGTGATTGCATGATGAATATACCAGCTGAATTTTGAAAACATGGAACATTTTATGATTGCACAGGTGTGGGCATTGCCAAGCCCTGGCTCCTGAGTATATCAAGGCAGCAAAAGAATTGAAAGGGGATAAGGATATTGCACTGGCAAAAGTGGATGCTACTTTGGAAAAACCTCTTGCTCAGCAATACAACATACAGGGCTTTCCCACTCTCATATTTTTCCATGATGGCTTGAAGGTTGAGGACTATGATGGTCCACGAACAGCAGATGGTAAGTCTTTTTTAATTATGTATTTGTCATATTCTGGTAATTCAACTTAAAACTGAATAAGTTCATTGTAGTTTTTTCCTGGTAGGATACCTTCCATTCCAAGGTGATAAGGTAAAATAATCACACTGTGAGTTAATGGAGTTGTTCCAGTCAGTGTGCCATTGTTGCTAGTGTGTATATGGGCTGTTCTTTGCAAGTGTCTACAGAGCACTTCTCATTCTTCTCATGAATGGATCCCAATCAACAGTTCTACTCCCTTTCAACATGGACTTGAGCTGCAGTAGAGGGGAAAGTCACAAGGTGCCTAGTCCTGTGAATAGGCTGTATAGTTGACAGTATGCAATCTGAGTTGCCCAGTGGCATGCTACTATAAGAACTTAATGATGCATGTGCAGGCACTTTGCCCTGTTATAGATACTACTTTTTTTCTGGAAAGTTCTTTGCATGCCACTCAGTCACTACCATCAGCCATCCAATGGATTCATTGGACTAGGCACATTGAAATTCCTTTTTTATGGCTTGAGTTCATTTTGAAGGGATGGGGATCTGATTGAGATGCACCACAACCATGTCAGTTTAAAATGGATGGTACAGGTATCTCTGAAAAAAAAAGAAGACTTCTAATGAACTTTTGGAAATCCCTCTCTAATGTTGAAATGCTGCTTTCCTTTAATAATTTTACCCCCACTCTGTTTGAAAACCTGGATACTTCTCTAAGATCCCTGATCAATCTTTGTAGTATTTTCAGTAAATATGAACTCTTCTCTGGCTTGAACATTGCCAGCAACTTTTGACAGATGTACATACACATGGAAAAATTGATTTGAGTTTCCTGTTATCATGCTTTCTGCTGAATATTTAAAAAACTTTTTGTTACATAGATATAGCAAAGAAATGTAATTTCATAGAAGTTGGGAAATTTCTTAAAAAGGGCAATTTTAAGAGTTATTCTTGCAGGCAAGAGCAAAAATGGCAGTCATGTGTTTTTCTATGTTTCACCTAAGGCTTTTCCTTTGTTTCTAACTACACACAGTGTTGAAACTTGGAGAATACCTTACTGCACCTTCCTCCATGACTATGCCAAATATGCCTATCCAATGTCCTATCTTGGAGATTTTAACCTTAATGGCATCTTGTATTCATGTTTGACATCCCTGCAGAAAACCAGAAAAGAGATCATTATGAACTGACATTTTGATCAGTTTCTAATCTTTTCATACAGTAAGCCTCTAAAATGGATTCAAGTTTAGTCTGGATGAAAACCATATGAGGTCTCATTTCTGGTTATACAATAATCCAATATCTTCAGGTGCTGAAGATAGAAGAGTCAGTGTTCTGATTCATGACATCCTGGCCATAGCCGATTTTCGTCCCCCCCCCTTGCACAAAGCACTGTTAGGAATTCAGAGGCCTCAAAGCTGAAAGAAAATGATCTTAACCACATCCATGGCAATGGAACCTATTCATTGGGTCATACTTATATGTAGCACACTGTAGAAATGCTATTCTCTGAAGAGGTATGTTGAGTTTTTTATGACTAAAGATAACTGGGTGTAATGTACAAAATGTAATTAAATTGATTACATTCACTTTAATGTTAGTGTGTGAAAGGGTTAACTCCATTTATTGAATTTCCAATGGAATCATATGTTTAAATGGTTCATTCAATTTGATTTTAATTTAATGGCCTCTTTCTGCTCTTGAAAACTTGCTTTCTGTTCAGATGATGATTGCAGTTGAAGTCACTCATTGGATCATACTTCATGTTGGAAGGAAAAATACTCCTTGTAGAAGAAATATGTACCATAATGATATTTCAAAGAAGGAAAATAAATCTGATGTTGCAAATTTTTCCCATGCATCAGTTTTAGGGCATTTGGTGTTCCAACTGGGTGTTAGTGATAAAATGATTTTGGTGACTGAGTTTACCTGACTTCTTGATTGTATTATTGGCCCTTTTCTTGATTATCCAAGGGTTTTGCAGATGAAAATTTAATTTTGGTAAGCATTGGGTATTTTAGATACTTAGTGTTTTTCCTGTCTTTTTTGTTCTTGTTGGGGCTTGTTCCACCTGGTTTGCTTGGGGAGGGATCATGATGGGTTCAGTTTTGCAGAAAAGTTCCTTGCCCTTATAACCTTGACAAAAATTTTAGGGGTTTTGGAGACCTTCTCCATGAAGTAAATGCACTCTCTTCCCCCTCTGGCCTCTAAAAAGAAAAACTTGAGCAGTCACCTGCCAATCTGTTCAATAAATAGAAAATGATTCCATGATTCACTTTCTTTACAATGAAAAGGACTGTTCATTCAGTACTACTTTTCCTAATTTGTTTTCATAACATGGCAAAAGCTGCTTCTCATTGGAAAGTATGAAAGCTTTCATTAGTAAGAAAAAAAAATTACGATTTTGAGGGGGTTGTGCTACAGTGCTACACATTCTACTGTTGTGAATGTGTAGCTGAAAACCAATAACTAGCTACTTGAACTTTGAAGCCCCTGCTGCCAAAGAGAATTAATGGCAAATGAGCAATCAAGAAGTAAAGTGAAACATTGGAATATGAAACCTTAGACCCTTATTTGATCATATGAACTAATAATTGGTTTTGTCCCTCCCTCTTTGTTGTTACTGTCCTCATTGGAACCTAGGCATCCACCAACACACTAACATTTAAAAATAAATAAATTTTTACTTGACTCTATGGTCATCCAAATGGAAATAAGTAATGAAATTAGCTGTGCGGGTTTGTGAATGGTATCATTATGTTTGGGAAGAATTACCCTATATGAATGCTCATAAAAAAAATCAATTTAACTCTTTGGTAGGAGGGGGATTAATCTGAAAATGAAATTGTTTTATGTGCTTGCAGGGATAGTGCAGTACATGAAAGTTAGACTGGACCCTGAATGGAAGCCACCTCCCTCCTCAGTTCTAGTTCTAATAGCTGAGAACTTCACTACTGTGATGAATGCACAACCTCTGATGTTGCTTGAGTTCTATGCTCCATGGTGTGCACATTGTCAGCGTTTTGCACCTGAATATGAGGGTGCTGCAAAGGAACTTCTTCCACAAGGCATCCCCCTTGCCAAAGTAGATGGGACAGTTGAGAAGAGCATAGCTGATCAATATGGCATCAGTGGTTGGCCCACATTGAAGGTGAGCACATATTTATGGGCATACTTGTCAAAGGGTTAATGTAGTTCTGACCCCAGGTGCTGCAGAAGAGGTGACCCCTGCAGAGAACAAGAATTTATTTTGTACACTTGGAAAAGGCTGTAACTTCTTTGGGGATTCCAAATTGTTGCTAGGATGATTCATTGATGAAGTCAAAAAGCAATGTAACTCTGCGAGGGTTGCTTGCAACAATGACAATTGACAGAGATGAGGGGGCTAATTCTTGCTCCTTGCATTGACTTTTTTTAATGATCCATTGCAAGGTAACATAGTAAGTTGGATCAACTTAGGTTCAACTTTGGAATTGTTTGTGCAATATCAGGTTGATATTTAACCCCTTAAGTGGGGAATTTCTTGGACAGAAGCCTACAACCACAGTCAGAAAATATTTTCATGGGAATAACATTCTGTGTTTGAGAAAGAAATGTACCACACTTTCTTGAGTTTATACTCCTATTTCGAGTTTCAAAATCACGTGTAACTTGAACTTGAAATATAATGGGGCTAAAAAAAAATGCCAACAAATTGAGGAGCATTTCACCATGAAGGATATATATATGTCATACCCACTGAAGAGGTTAATTGTTGACTTCACATGTAGTTTGTCAGAAGCCAGTGTTGTTTCAACATTATTCAACACTATCCTGCTGCTTGGAATGTTATCTCAAATGGAACTACTTTATTGCTTATTGTGGCATTGCCAATTTACATTGCCAGTGCTGAACAGTCAGTGAGCACTCTTTAGAGCAGGGATTCTTAATCTTTTTGCACCTATGGACCCCTCAGATCCTCAAGTATTACCCATGGACCCCCACCCCTGGTTATCAGAAACTTTGGAACACCTGGATTTGTGATTATAAATGATGTTTTTTGGGAGCTACCTTTAATTATATATTTAATTTTCCAAGGACCCTCCATGGACCCCAGGTTAAGAACCCCTGCTTTAAAGGATCAAGTCTTGCTATGATCAGCCATGAGGCAGTAGCCCCATAGGGATCTCTCACTCTCAAGCAAGGAGGACACTGCCATGGAAGTTAATTCCTCATTGTGAATAAAGGAATTTGCTAGCTCAAAAGCATGCAGAGTGGCTGTCTTGATGCTACAGTGTTTTAAGGAAATTGCTAGTAAATTTATTATCTGTACATCATTGACCTTTCAGGCTTCCATTTTCAAAAGTCTCATGTGTGTCTCATTTTTTTAAATTTAATTTCTTAGGACAATTGGTGGAACAGTTGAAGAATAGCCTGAGAGGCAAACCATAGCATTAACTGAGCCATGTATTGGGATGGCTAGATTGTATTTGTACCTGGAATGATCGTTTTCCCATTATGGTTTGGGAAGATCTTGTAAAATAGTGGCCAAGTGTTACATTATGAATGTATGTAAAATAATGAATTAAGGAGGAGTAAACTGTAAGTTCTTGAAATGTTCTAGAAGTCAGGAAATTGCTTTGCTTTATTTGGCAGCATTTTAGAACATATATAGTGGACTTTTTAACCCTTAGTGGTCCAGTTTGACATAGTCCAACAATCTCCATTGTGATACAATTAAAATGAACTGCTAAAGTTTAACTTGTACCAGGTACAAAAGTTGGCAATTGTTTTCAGAAGCATGCACATGTATCAGACATGCAAAAGGGAGTAAATTAGAGAATTATTTCTTTCCTTACATGTTGTATAATCCTGAATTGCAGTCCAGCAGTGTCTTAGTACGAGTACTCACAACTTGGGAATATGCTGCCAGAGGGTCTTACAGCACCTAGGTGCTGTTTTACTATTAAAAGTGTTTAAATTATTGTCAAATAAATTTTAAGGGATCCAGCAGGACTAGAACTGGTTAACCTAACTGCTTCAGTTAACTGTTAACTGTTAACTGCTTCAGTTGTTATATCTATAATGTGGCAAAAATTATTCTGGGTGCCTCGCAGGTATCTCGTCATGGGCGCATGTTTGACTACAAGGGCCCCCGTGACAAGTCTGGGATTGTGAGCTATATGCTTGACCTGAAACTTCCTCCTTCTACAGAAGTGTCCTCGATTCAAGAGCTGCAGAATAAACTCTCTCGTGTTGATGGGTCTGTCATTGCCTTTTTTTATCAGAAGTCCAACCTCTACGATGAATATATGGCTGCTGCTTTCTCTCTCAAGTGTGAGTGGATCTTCTTTGTGTCTGTTAAACACCATTAAAAAAAAAACTGAGTGGTGAAGCAGCAGATAGGAATGTACTCCTTAAATTTCCCTTTTTTGCTCTATCAAATCTGCTGCAAGAATCTTCATGTATTGTGTACTGAAACAATGGAGGCAAAGAGAACTTCTAATGATAGAGAATTTACTGTGATTGTGATGAACAATTTCAAGTCACGAATGGGAAAGAATAGGGTCAAGGGAGCACTCAGTTTTTTTAATGTTATATTTTGGAAATTGTGTGTTGAGAGTTCTGTGCTGATCATCTACAGTGATGGAAGACCAAGGCAATATCCTGCATACATTCTCATCTGAGATATTGGAGAAATACAAGACAAAGCCTGATACCATTGCTGCTATCATACCCAAAGCTCTCATTTCAAAATATGAGAAGCAAATTCAGTTCTTTGGAAGCGTAAGTTCCCCAATCTACTCTCATGACACCTGCACAATTGTTGAACTTTCATGTTGGACCACACCATGGATGAAAATCTTGATATAAAACCCATTAGGATATTGATTAGAGCTAAAAATCCAATTGAAGTATCTGTGATTTCTCCAGATTTGTAGTACCAAATGGAATGATTACCTACTAGATCTTATGAAACTACACTACTTTCTAAAATCAATGTGTTCACTGTTGCAGATCAGAAATATATACATGTAACAGGGGAAGTGAAAGCAAAATAAAAATAATTTATGAGGGAGGAGGGTTTGCTTTCTAAATAGCCCATCAATCCTGAGAACTTTGTGTGGTAATCAACATGGCAGTTGCTCCTCCGACTGCATTTTTACTTTGGATATGACACCCATGCTTAAACCCATTAAATACTGAATTATTTACTGCCTATTGTTCTGGGCCAGGGATGAGCAATCTTTTTTGACTGTGGACTGCTAGTGAGGCCTTAGGTACAGTCTAACTGTATAAATCCATAGCTGTAGCAACTGGCAGTAGAAACATTTTGGATAGGGTTTGTTTGGTCAGACTTGTGGCCTCAACCCTGGTGATGCTTGCTACCTGACAATTTTTTAGGATGGGATCTTTTGCTATCTGTTTTTTACTTTAACTTTCTTAAGCTTTGCCTCAACTCTGCAGGCTATTTTGCCATTATGTGGTTCTGGTATTTAATTTCTTTTTGTCCTCTTCTAGGCTAGAGGCTGGTTTCCATACATGGCTGACTATGGTTGATAACAGAAGGAAAGATAGTATGATTTGACAAAGGAAACTTAAACATGAAAGCTTTCATCACCATTAGTCTATACCCCAAATTGCTAGGCCTACATGGCATGGGACAGGCTTGATAAAAGGGAAAAAAAAAATGCAGAAAGTTTCATTTCAGAGTGATGCCCCACAACTGTCAGACCTATGGAGCATTAGAAGGAGATAGCATACATCACCATGTGGCATTATCTCCAGTTTCAGATGTATAGTATATGTAGTATGCATATGTAGTACAACCAAAAGGAGAGCATTTTTCATAACATTTCTGATTCTTACTCATGGCTTTGGCAATATCACAGCATTGTGTGATATGTAGTTTGTGTTATCAATCTCTTAAAGACCCATATTGCAAAGTCCTAATTTTAATTAGTGGTCATGGCTATGCTAGTATGGAAATTTTCTAAGTGGATCCTCTACTTCAGAACAAGTGCTTTGAATGAATTTTGTGAAGCATGCCTAAAATAATAATAACCATTTGCAGTCTTCATACCCAATTGGGGACAGGGTGCATGAAATTGTTACAAATTGCATGTGGATATGGGCTTCCATATCTGATAACGAAAACATAGCGTACCTGAGTTCCATCATCAACCTTTAGTGAGTGGTTCATTTTAAGACTGGATGGTGAGTTTTTTTAGTGATAATGCCAGAAAAATTCAAGAAGTTTTGCTAATATTGCTCAGATCATGGTTTTCTCCTGATTAGCATTGGTTTTGTTGTAAGTCAATGTTTCATTACTTCTTGCTATAGAAGGGGAGCACTGAGTCATATTTAGTGAAGGAGATCCAGGCACGCATCACACCCTTGGTAGGCCACCGCACCAAGAAAAATGCTCCTGGTCGATATCGAAAGCGTCCTTTGCTTGTGGCATACTATGAAGTCAACTTCTCACATGAATATGTGAAAGGTAAAACAGCTGTATATCTTGCATACATTATACATTTATTTGAATCTGTTCTTGTATGGTTCTATCCTCCACAGATACAAACTTTGTGCGTGAGAAGCTGGTTGAGGTGGCAAAGGACTATCCAGATCATGCAATCTTATTTGCTGTGAGTGACGAGACTGAGTTTGAAGATGAGTTGGTGTCACTGGGTTTGGCTGATTCTGGAGTGGATGTAAATGTGGCTCTCTGGGATGATAAGGATAAGAAGTATGTCATGGAGCCCACAGACAATCTGGACAGTGATGACATTCGGGAATTCATCTCTCTGGTTCAGGCTGGTCAGTCATCTTCCATTGCCCTCAGACAGAAAGTTTATGAAGTTGAAAACAGGAGAGCTGGCTGTAGGTGGTTGGTAGGTTATCCATTGTTGCAAGAAAGTGCCACCACTGTGAGGTGTTGGTTGCCTTTGTAACCATGTCCTTGTTTCCTCCTTGGGACTGAGTTCAATCCTCGGCCTCATTGCCAGGGAAAATTCCATTATGCTATGAATATGATGGGACTCTAAAGAGTAGCACCATTCTCTAGAAGTATGTTAGCTTAAGATCTGGATTGACTCCTCAGCCTGCTTCTATCTTGCTCTCTTCTAGGAATCCCTATTCTTAAGTTTTTTAAATTTTCCACATTGTGGCACTGTTGTATATATACATCAGTGGATCATAGCTTGTGGAAGTTTGTTGCCATGCTTTAGTGACATTTCAGTTTGCTTTCCAGTGATATATGGATGGAAGTATCAGATAAGCTAATACAGTGAAACCTGTGTAATACGGCCACAAGGGGGACTTTTAAAATTCGGCCTGTTCTGACAGGTGGCTGGTATGAAAGGGAATTTTTCCCTATTTTTCCTATAGGCAAATTTAGAGGTACTTGTCAGTCAGTTTTCCAAGAAAATTGAACACACACTATATCCTCAAAAGGTATGGTAGTCTGATTTTGTTAGATTTTATTTATTTTACGTACACCGAGAGAAATTTGAAGACCCTGATTTCATTGTCTGGAGGTCTTTAATGTTTGTTGGACGCATGCACATTTAGCCTGAGCACACTCGCTCCTGCAGAGACACTTTGAGCTTCGTGATCACATCAACTGACTTGCATCCATCCCCTTCTCTGCCAAATGGCACTTGGGCTTATCCATGGCACTCAATGGCCTTAAAGAAAAGTAATAAGATGCACAGAAGAACTTGGTCAACACTCTGATGAGTGTTTTCACACTATTGAGACTGCAAAGATGTGACTTTGACAACCAAGCAACAGGTTGATTCAGGGATTAGAGAGGGGGAGTGGAAAGGGAAGCAAGAGGGAGGAAAGGTGGGAGACTAGAAGGCAGGGAAAGGAAAAGGAAGAAAATCAACCTGCAATATTCCTTCCTGTGTTCTGGCCAGATTAAAGAGTGGCTGGCACAGAGGGTCTGCAAATCCTCAGCTATTGGTTGCGTTAGACAGGTGGCCGGCTAAAACAGGTTATTTTAACATTGAGCCTATGGAGGTAATGATTGGGGCTGAGCATTTCTGGCCGGAAATGGGAGGTGGCTGTAATATGTAATTTGATTAAGGGCATAAGTACACTTGCAGGTAAGAAGAGTAAAGTGAGTGATCTGGTATGGAAAGAAAACTTAATTAAACTTGCAAAATCTCATCAGCAAACAATATGGAAACACAGTGGTTAGAGTGATGAAATTATGCTTATTCTTACAGTCTGCAGTTCATTGAAAAAACCCACCCTGACAGTGTAGACTATGCCTTTAAAAAACACCTCTCAAAGGGTTAAAGGAACTTTATTCAGATAAGTTGATTGGGATGGGATGTATATGACCATCCCATGAACAGATCTCAAAGTCACCTGTGATGAAGTTGCTAAACTCTTGTCAACAAAAATCAAGGAGGGAGTAGATCTCCATATTTCATCCTATACAGTCAAGGTCATGTAGAACTCAATGCTCTGCTATAACTGTGAAGTGTGGATTTCCATTCCAGGGAAAGTGAAGCCTTATTTAAAGTCTGAGCCCATTCCACGGAATCAGGAAGGTTCTGTCAGGGTGGTTGTGGCCAGCACGTTTGAGGAGGAGATTCTGAAGCCTGAAAAGGATGTCCTTATTGAATTCTATGCTCCTTGGTGAGCCCTACTACCTTACATGTGTAGTTGATTGGATGTATTAGATCAATAATGTCATTGTGATGAAACGATTGTATCAGGTGTGGCCACTGCAAGGAGCTGGAGCCAATTTATGAGAGAGTGGCTCAACATGTTGCAAAATCCAATGACAAACTTGTCCTGGCTAAGTTTGATGCTACAGCCAATGATGTTCCACCTGGATTTGATGTCAAGGGGATCCCAACCATCTACTTCTTGCCAGCCTTTGAGAAGAAAGATCCCATTCTCTTTGATGGACCTCGAACATTTGAGGGGATTAATGTGAGGAGTGACTTTTGATCATTTGCTGATATATTGTGCCAAGAGTTTACCTGTACCAATTTTGACAATTGCAGGAGTTCATCAACATGCACTCAAGTGTATTCCTGACTGATGAAGAGAGGAGAGGGGAGCGCATCAAGAAAGAGGAACTCTAGGTTATCGAATGAAACTCACTCTGTGCCGGTACTCATTCTACTCAAAGCCAAAGAGTACAATCTGGGAGTTCCTTGTGCAATCAGAGTTTGGAGATAAGATGAACAGGGACGCAGACCTGGCTTGTGATATAGGTTCCCTTTTCCTCTCAAGTGCCTTGCCTGGTGTCTTCTGTGGTATTCCCTCCATCCTCACAATCCCCTTGTTGTACGATTTTCTTGAATCTCACACCGGTTGATAAGTTATGCACTGTTGTCACAACCAAGTGATGTGTTGTTATGTGGTGAATAATGGGAGCACAGTGATATTGTTGGCATTTCATGTGTTTTACTTTCATGGAAATCAAAGGATGTAAGTAGGAGAATGAGGATGGTTTTATGATGGTCATCCTGGGTTGCTATCAGTGCTTCCCTTCTTTCATTTCTTCATTTAACTCAGGAAGAAATGGAAAACTTTTCAGCTTTTTTCAGTTCTTCTTTCTAAACTTTTTTAGGCTTCTTTAACTGTGAGAGTATATTGCTAGATTTTTTCTTGAAAAAATAGCAGTTGCTTTGTAGGAAGGTGGAATGGGACCAAAGAAAAAGAACCCTATTAATGGGTTCTCAATATTCATGCGAGAACAACGGGATGAGATGCAAAGGAGAGAGGGGAGGGTTTTCAGGAATATGGAAGAGGTGGTTGTTGCTTGCCGCCCAAGGTGGAACCTGCTCGCTGAAGAAGATAAGCAAAGGTTTGTCCTTTTAGTTGATCCAATCATAGTAGCATCATTACCTTATATGTGATCCAATCAGGATTGCAGTCTTACCATGCTGCAATTGACTGATTTGAGCAGGTGGCTTGTTTTTATACTGGCTGAGTTCGAATGGCTTAAAGAGTGAAGTGAAATATACCAGATGATGTCATGGTTACAAGATAGAAGTCTGTTCAGTATAATTTGTGTTTAGTTTAATTTGTGTTGTGGCTTGTGGTACAATGGCTGGTATGCAAGAATGTATAAAACCAATAAAATAGCTATTTTCTATTTTAGGGGGTATCATATGATAAGTTTGATAGGTTGGCCATATGCAGAAACATTTCATACCATCATGATAGGTATAAGAATCATTTCAATCTATTATGATCCAGAGCTTGTTTATTCTTTTTATAATGAGCTACCAGGGTGGATTGCATTGCATTTTACTAATCCAATTAATTATGTGAACCGTCGCAACTTGTGTTGAGCAGATTACTCTGAGACAGATTAAATCCTGTGGAATTCTTTGTATCAATCTGAATTCAATCACTAGTCAAATGTGGTCAGATTAATACCATTAAATAATCACACAACACTCTGGTCAGTAATGTGCACAGAAACACATGTCATTGTTCCTGGGTGGAAGACGATGGATAGGAGGTTGTCATCAGGAAGATTCACGAATACCTATCATGATAGGTATAAAATACCTATTGTAATATCAATAGGTATGATGATACCTATCAAAATAGGCCTCACGATGGATACCTATAAATTGTTCTTGCATACAGAACTGAGCAAATTATAGACCTATCGCCTGATACCTATCATGATAGCTACCATATGATAGGCTATCGAGTGATAGATTCTTGCATACGGGCCAATATCATGCAGACCCTAGGTTGACGTGCTATTGTAATATGCATGAGGTGCAGTTTGATACAATCAGCAATTACAGCAAATAGATACAATCCAAACATCTGAAGTACCAAACTGTAGTCATGATCAGTCAGGTAATATAAATCTTTCTTCAATAAGTTTTTAATTGGCAACCAAATGCCTTTTGAACCTTTTTCACACCCAGTTCCTTCTTCAGATGAGCAAGGCTTGGCCAACTTGTGACCAAAGAGTAAGAGTATGACTGTTGGGCTTGATTGTGGTTTTTATGCTTTGTCAGTGCTACTGATTGCAAAGTAATTAACTGGAAGCACAAAAAATGAAGTTGAACTGAATGAGAGCTTCAGAAGGACTGGGGTAAATAATTACTCTATGAACCCTTTCAAGACTTGAATGACATAAGTTGTACATCAAGCTAGTACATGTAAAGACTCTGCTTGCTTGCCGTACAACAGATGTCATTGGAGTCTTCAAAGGGTCATTAAAACAAAAAATTTACTTATTAACCCTTTTGCTGCAAAGAGCGACTTGAATTTCTTTATTATTTATGACTTTTCACTGCATAATATGAATTATTTAAACCCTTTACCAAAATTCAATCTGCAGCAAAAGGGTTAAATGAAAATTGAGAAGGAAAATGTTAACCCTGACAAGTGAACTGAGACAAAACTGATCTGACTCCTGACTTTTATATAAACAAAAAACAGCAATATGAACAAATTATAAAAGTCACTTTTCAATATGGCCACCATTTTTGGGGGGCAAAACAGGCCTTTGATTCTCTTAGGAAAATTATCCATGATGACCACAAGTTCCTCGTTCATTATTTGACTCCAGGCTTTTTTCAGGGCCACTTCAGCAAATCCACTGAGTCATATCTTGTAGCCAAGGCTTTTTTTTCTTCTCCAAGATTGACCAGACAGAATAATTCATTGGATTGAGATCTGGAGAATTTCAAGGCCAAACATTTTGGTCTCCCACTTCTGAAAAGAGTGACAATTTATCTTCTCAAAGAGAAGGCTAAACTTGGCTAAATGCCCAGGTGCCATATCCTGTTGAAGAATCCATCAGTCATATTTGAAATTTTTCCTTGCCCGGGGATTTACCTTCTGTAAAATGCTATCTTGGTAGGTTTTGACATTGATCTTGACTCCTTCATCCACAAAAACCAAAGGGGTTGTGATTTATTTGAAGTGATTCCTGCCCATCACTGAAGCTGGAAAATTACTGTGACTGATCTCTCGATTGGAATTAGTTTATGAATCTCTTGGCAACAATTGATGATCATTCTGATGGTTGTGGCTTTGCTCAGTTGTGAACATTTTTTTTACCTGTAAAAGGAATTGAATAATGGCAGTGATAATTTTCTGGCTCTTTTGTGCTTTTTTGAGCCTGTTGGCTTTCATCTTTTCATTTAGGAAGTGGGCCTTCATCAACTTGTAAGAGTGATACCCTCACCCAGTGGTGCCCAACCTTTTCAGCTAGGGGGCACATAGCTCACTCCCACAGCCATTGTAGGCCTGTCACTAGTATCATAGGAGACTATTTTAAGGAAACCTAAGGGTACTTATTGTGGGTTAGGGCCTCACAGGCCACTTGTAAGCACCTCAAGGGCCACTTTTATCCCATGGGCCATGGATTGGACACCACTGCCCTAGCTCATGTTTGACCTTTTTGCACACTGAAAAGTCACTGATTTTCATATGTATGTTCGCCATAACTTGCATTGACCATTGTGAATTTCGCTTGATTTGTTTCTTGATGCCTTGTTAGTTGGCAGAAGTGCAAGCAGTGGCAGATCTTCCACTTTATTTTACAGTCAAATGTTGTGCCAAGCTTCTGATATTGTTTGATCATTCTAGACACAGTTGTGCTATAAACACCTAGTTGTTTTGCAATTTCTGCTTGCTTCATTCTACTCTTGAAAAGTTCTATTATGGCTTCTTGTTTAGTATACATCTAAAAAATAAACATTATAAATATTTTGAGAATTAAAGTAAATAAAGAAATGAATAAGCTACAAAACAAAAAAAAGTTTGAAATTTTGTCATGAGTTTAAAAAGTTATAAGCATTTAAACTTTCCAACCAAACTTTTCATGCACCCTGTAGAAAAATATCAACTCTAGAATCATACATTTCATAGGACAGTCCAGGAAAAAAATTACTTTGTCATATCTTGGATCTCAGTCTAGGATATGTTGCATATGTTTCAGGTGGAAAATCAGAAGAAAACCCTCTTAACCCTTTCAGTGACAAATTTTTATGCAATATTGCAGCTACTGAACTTTACACACAATAAACTATGAGTGGTGACATCTGGTGATGGTTATTGTAAATTGTCCGCTTTGTATGGATCGTTTTATAATTACAGCAATTTTAGTGGAACATTAGTAATAGGACAAGGGATGCCCCTGTATCAGCAAAAGGGTTAAGAGAGATAATATTCAGTAATACCCTTCGGCATGGGAGGAATTCTCTTATTTCTGCCAATCTCTGATTTCCTTCCACTGAATGTGGCCTGTATCCAACTTGGGAAATAAATTGCTCCTTTGTATGCTGTTTTTTGTGGAGCTGTGATAAGAGGGCATAGAAATGCACGTGTTTTCCAAACGATGATGAATCTATAGTATACAGATAAATATATAGGGTGCGATGAAATAAAAGGACTCCTTGACTTGCCTCAGATGACCTGACTTACTTGGCTGATTTACCCCAGACTGCCTGTCTTTACTTGTTCACGCTCCATCCTCTGTGGCTTCTGCTCTATTTATGACACTCTTACAGCCACTCTGCAGTCAATCTGCTGTTGGACCTATTCATTTCCCCTTCTTATCTCAACTTGTCTTCAGGCCTGTGAATCCTCCCATTCATATTTCTATTGAAGAATATATATTGGTGTTGTTACACTCCTGCCTCACCTTTTATAGTGATGTTCATGCCTAAGAAACTACCACCTTTGCACCTTTTGATAATCAGAAGCCCTAAACCACCTATTTGCTGCACCTTTTTTTCGTCATTAATTGTTTCTGTGCCTGCATCCTGATCACACAACAACCAGCTTGCCTGATTTGAAGAAAACCCACTATACTACTCAAAACCATTGTTGAATTTTTGCTTTCTTTCTGAGACACTGGGGTGTTCAGAAGTTCATAACAGGTAGTTGGATTCCCATGCTCTGCAATATGGTTGTCATCTGAGGAGAAAGCTTTAAAGGGAGCTAGGTTTTTGCAAGGAAACTTGCTTCCTCAGTCCTTTTGAATACCCAAGGCAATGAATGGGAATGCTGTTGGTGAAGGAAGATATGTGTCGTACTATACAAGGGTGGTAATATTATTCAAAGCTGATTTTTTTATTTGGACATTGCAGGTACAATGATGCGGCAAAAAAGGAAAGGGAGAAGGAGAAGAAGGACCTTACAAAGAAATATGACAGTTATGGTATGCCACTGTCAGAACGTATTCGTGAAGAAAATGAGAAGAAAGCAGCAGAGCGAGCTATGATTGAAGATATAAGGAGAACAGTACAGGATGGTTTCAATAAGGGAACTCTAGTGGATGAACTATTTCATTTCATAGACTTCAACATCTTCGTACGTACAGATGAGATTCATCATCTGGTTGATAAGTATCGTCCAGCAGAAGTGGCTGCTGTTGAGTACACAATCTCCCAGGGAGTTACAAAGAAATTACATGCTCTCCTTCACCCTGACAACATTCCATTAGGATATCGATCCCAGGCTCAGGACTTTGCAGCTGAACATGGCATTCGATTGGAACTGCAAGGGAACCTGTTGGAGAAGAACTATCCAGGAATAGTGATTAGACTCTTGAATCTTCTCAATCCATCAGGGGATAAGGCTGAGTATCCTCCATTCTACACCATGCCAGACCAGGTTGAGAAGGTCACGTCTCTTTTGGAATGGTTGTGGATGCATGGTCAGCGGAGAGGTCAGCGAAACCCATTTCGTGTTTATCAACTCAATCATCTTCTTTTCCATCTAAGAGCTGTTTGCACTGGTGAGAACCTGGCTTACCCATCCAGTGTGACAGCCACAGATGTGCTGCTCAACTCAAGCTTTGATCATGTGGGAGGAATAGCTTGCAAGTATCATAGGGAAGAATGTGAAAGCACAAGACCATGTGTGCTGAGCTTGGTGGTGCGCCAAGCATACCTCATTTCTGATGCCATCTGTGAGCATTTTGGAGTTGAACTCCAGCCAAACAAGCACTGCCCAGTGCTTTGTGAGACCCCTTATCTCTCTGTTGATGAGGATCCAGGAAGAGAGTGCCATGGAGGAGCCACTGCATCAGCTGCACATCTTGACCAAGGAGATCCAGATGTTGACAATAATGGTGCTGGTTTCCACATGGTTCAACATAATAAGAAACCAATTGGGAAGGCTTCTGTAGATGGTGGGGCACTCCCTGTAGCTGGATGTGGTCGTGGTCGCCTTGCTGATCAGCTAGCTAAGCTCAAATTCCAGAAATGACCTTACCTTTTTGTTGCCATTGCTGATCACCCTTTTTTCTGTATAAATACTCAAGCTCTTCTTCAAGGATATTCTGCAAATGAGCACATTCCATTTTCATGACTTGAAACTCAAACAACTTTCAAGAAAATGTGCATTGAGATACCTTTTTTTCTTTTTTAAAAACTTGCCTGGGGAAAGGAGATTTTCTGCAGTTTCAGTTTTACCACTGACATTGGTGAAACTCCATCTACAGTATTTCAGTTTTGGAGAAATGGAAAACTTTTCTTGGTCTCCATTTATATGAAGAATGGGCTTTCTTTGTTTCATAAGTCTTTCTGTTGAAGTATCTCTGTGGACTATAAGATGGCTCAGCTGTGAATTCCATGTGAATGATTTTGGTTGTGAAGGTTGTTGCTTGATGTAGTATATGAGGAAAATAAAGAAATGAGACTTTTCATATGAAAGTATTGACAGAATGAAGGGGCAAGAGGTGCTATCACAACAATGAGCTGTGTAGAAAGATGTATTCATCTTAGGGAGTCCTAGTTGTAACTGCATACTGTGAGACACTATGTGATGGGCTAAAGATTTTAAACTAACTGGAATTTTTTTCCCAAGAATTTTAATCCTTGAAGATGGTATTTCTAGGTTTGAGCTAACACATATGTAGTGTTTGTTAAAACCCATATATAGAGCAGACATTTGATTTTTGGTTGACATAACTGAGTCAATACTTTCATTACTCAGACACTCAATGCCATGAGGCCCTTACATTCTAGCACTATGGAACATGCATGGTGAAAAATAGATTCATCATGCTCCAATGGGTTAATTTACAAAATATACTGATATCTCCTGAATTCAACATGCTTAGGGTCACTGATAATTGATTTTCATGTTTTTCAAACTTCTATGCGTTGGAAGTGCACAGATATCTTGATAACATCAAAGTCTCATTATTTTGGGTCAACCCAAATATTTTGATTCAGTTTGTGTCTTCCTGGGCTGTGGAACTAAAACAATGGAGAAAAATCAGCCAGAAGGAAACAAAACTGGAATAAATAAAAAAACATTTTAACTCTTTACCATGATTGGGGAGTAGGCCATGCTTTCACTGACATAAATGTTCTTGTGCTTATATCATAGACAGTGTTTTTCTGCTGTTAATGGTTGACACCTCTGAAGTAGATACAGTGGTATAGCTTCCAAGTAACTCCATCTGGCAACTGATTCAAAAGCTAATTTCTCCAATAGCAAAAGATATTAAGGGAAAAAAAAATACATCATTCTTCAGAGCACTTATGGGAGTTTTGTTTCAATATGAGAAAACTAATTCTAAAACTTTCACAACACTTCCACATAGGCAAAACCAATATCATTCTCTGAACAACCTCATTTGCAACTTAGGACAATTCAAGGAAAATTCCCTGTATTACAGTCCTGATGCATTCTTCCAAATTGCTAAATTTTTTAATTCATAGCATAAACTTTTGCTTTTACATAGCCCCATGGGAAAGAATTGAGAGGGTCACATGACCAAGGAGCCAAGGGAGTTGGACCATGTCTCCCAATTCATTGGTTAGGGAACTGATAGCTTAAGAGCTGCCATGCATTGAATGTGTGTAACGACAGAGCCCCATCCTTTTTGGGAGATGATATCATGGAGGTCAAAGGACTCTAATTGGGTAATAGCAAGCATACAGAACAGTTCATAAGTTTTGCCATTGGTATTTGTCATTTGTGTAATGTTGAAAAAAAAAAAGGCTCAATGATTCATTTGGCAGTAAGAGCATATCAAAATTTAGTTTCAGCATATTGCACTCACGCTCACAAAACACTCCTGGGTTCTTAATTCCCCATACTTCTAAACAAAAATGTATTGTGTGCATTTCGTGTGGTTTTCATCAGGAGCGTTGTGAACTTCAGAATGCCTTCAGAATTCATGTTGCACTAGTCACTGAGCCAAATGTGTCCATCCAAATAGCCATTTTGCATTGCTGCAAAACTGAGTAGCCTTCTGCCATTCCAAGCATTGAAACTGGAAGTTTGATGTTTCAAAAAAGTTTCCAACCACTTGACTCTCACATGAAATAATTTCCCCTAAAAAATATTCAAAATCTGTGAGAATATAAAGAAAGCAAATTAGGGAGTGACTTTTGAATCACCCTGTATACCTCTAAGCTATGGCAGTGGATAATAATACAGCATAAAACAACCTTCTGTTCAAATGGAATTCTTGACTAAATTAGAATGAAACAGGGTATTTTGGAACACAAACAAAAGCAAACTGGCCATCCAGGACAAAGAAAACCAGGTTGATATGCCTGTATCAGAAAAGTGAATCAGAAGTAAAACTGCCTCAAGCACTTCAAAGCACTGGTAGTTCTATTTTGGGTTTTCCTAGCTGTCATTTTTCAAAGATGAACCTTGATTTTAACTATCAATAGTGATTCCAATTACTGTAAATCTTCATCTTCCATGAGCCCATGTCAAACCATTCATGTGAAAAGTTGACATTTGCTCTGATTACAAGCCAAGGAAGTGTTATTTACATCTTTTAGTGAGACTGGTATCTCCTATTAATAAAAAATTGCCTTATGGCCTGGAGTGACAATGAAGTGGACCTCTTCATCATTTATTCTTGTCACGTTTAGAGTAGGAAGAAAAAGCCAAGAAGACACCCTTGAGTTCACCTCATCCAATTGATTGTCTTATGATCTCAGGAGAAAAGTTAGCCAATTTTCCCCCCTCAATTAACTCATGCAGCATATAACTTAGTCCCATAACCTCAAGAGTGGGCAAATCACTGGTTCATTTTTGTACATGCTGAGGCATCTTAATGCTGAGTGCAGAGCTTGAGGAAAGGGCTGTGTATGAATAAAGATAATAGGATCAAGAGTTGCAAGTGAACGGTAGTGAGGAGTGGCATTGTATTCTTGAGTGGAACATGAAAGAAGTAACTAAAATAAAGTGTATTTTGCTGTCTGAAAGATGACAAGGTATACAACTGAAAATGACACAGGAAGGATGAATACATCAGAGGTCTGCCAATGGGGCACTTGAGTTGCATGCACTTTGGTATCAGTCACACTGGAATGAGCTGCTCTCCCATATGGATCTGAGGCACTCGATTTCTGAACCAGCAATAGCAGGTTCTCCAAGCTGCACATCATGAGATTGGAAGATCTGAAAACTCAGTCCCATGCCTCATTCCTTGTGGGTCACTCCACTGATAATAAAAGTCTAGAAAGTCAGTCACTGTCACTTGTGCCTGAGATGGCTTGCTATCCATTCCAGGCCTTGATACAACCTGGAAGAAATCATTGAAGGGTAAATTACTTCCAGATTTTGGAGCAGTAGAGGCAGCTCATCTTACTCATCAGGGATGCTAAATCTTTTATATTGCATTTTCTTAACATTGGCTCTTGGAAAAAATTTCTGACAGCACAGATGCTCTCTTCTTTGCACTCTATCTGATGTCAAGGGGTTGATAATAGTCCATCTATGAGCTCATTTATGATGCTTTGGAAATTGGAGTTGTCACCCTGCATGAGTTTCCAAAGATCTACCTTAAGCCTACCTATAAACCATAAAAATCAATGTACACATTAGTTTTCATTGGCCCATTATTAGGTTGCAAACTTTCCAAATTAGACTATATTGTAAGGTGGTACTATTCTGGGGAATCTATGGGCCCTTCATTGAATCATGCTTTCCTTAAATACTTTTGTCCCTGAATTATAATGTGAAATAAAATGTTATATTTGTTATATTATTTATATAATTATAAATGATCATATAAAATGTAAAATAAAACTTAAAATAGTCTATTGTCAATTAGACAAATGAAAAAATGATATGAATATTGATCATCAGTATATGCATTTTCAATATTAGTTTATTGGACATTGGCCAGAATTCAATATTGTTTCATCTTTACTCAAAAGCATCAACCACTTGAACTCCAATAAAGTCTGAAAAGCATTTGCTTAGTTGTGATTCACTCTACAATTCATCAACTGCATTGCTCTGTAGAGCAATACTACCTCAACTTTCAGCCAGGGGGTGCAAGCCTCCTAGTTCACCCCCTCTTGCTCCCAAATTAAAACTTATTACTCAGAGAATATCAAAGATGTTGACCATAGATGCAATGGTATCTTTGCAACATCACACTCATATCACTTATCCTAGTTCAACTTCATCATGTGATTTCAAATTTATGCTTATAACACACAGCTGAAGTGAACCTGTCTATGATCGGGACTAGCTTTTTTTGCAGTTTATCTAAAAAAGTTTTATGTGCAAGAAGAAAAAAATTTGTTGCTTACTCTTTCTTGAAAATTGTTAGAGAAAAAAATCAATAATTAGGAAAACATCATTTGAAAACACTTCTCTTGCATCCATCTTTAATCTTCCAGTCCCATATTTGGATTCTTGCATCATGAAAGTAAAATTTATGCATACCAACTGATGGAGAGTTTTGGCACAACTTAGAAGATGGCCTTATCCATTATAAGAATGATGAACCACCTCTGAATGGTGAGCCTCGGCTGATACAAGTATCAAATGACTTACCCTTCACCAGTGAGGGCACAACAGGATTGAATTTGCCATTTGTGTCCCTTGACTGAGGTGAGATTGAGGTGCCTGGAGATCTCAGCTGCAGACATCCCACCTTTCACATCTTGCTTATTGGCATAGATTAGCACTGCTGCCTTGTTCAATTCATCATGGGCTAGCATCTTGTATAGTTCACTCTTAGCTATACTCACACGTTCTCGGTCTGTCGAATCTATCACCAGGATGATGAACTAGAATGTAAAAAGAAAAATGGGTTACAAGCTATGATGCAAGTAACATGAACCAAATGAACTTCAATTGGGCTTACTAGGAAGTCACTGACAAACCTCTGTATTGCTGTAATACGTGCTCCAGGAAACTCGAAGGCTTTCTTGACCTCCAAGATCCCACATGATAAAATGCAGATTTTTCCACACCACTTCCTCAACATTGGAGCCAATAGTAGGAGAGGTGTGTACCACTTCATTCAGGAGCAGCTGGTATAAGATTGTCGTTTTTCCAGCGTTGTCAAGGCCCACAATCAATATTTTATGCTCTGGGTACAAAAAAAGAAAAGTCAAAAGGATGACGGATTGTCAATGTCAAATGTGGGCTATTTCAGGTTCAAAGGGAAACTCACCTTCATTCCCGAAGAGACTCCAGAGTTTCGCCAGAAGAATACCCATTTTCCCGATGTCAGTTCACTTTATATAACTAAAAACATCTCTGAGAGAAGAACAGAGTATAATGCGAGAGTTTCTCTTTGAAGTATCTGGGTCGAGTCCTTGAAAGTGGACGCTTTTGTTTCCACATCACAAGGAAGTCCTGCAACTGCAAGGGACCATTTGCATCTCCAGGGCTGCCCACTCTATAATCTCACTGCTATTTCTTATTATTTAAAGAATGCTTGAACGAAAATAAAAATGTGACAGTAGCATAACATCGGTAGACAGAAACTATTTGGGAAAATAATTAAGTAACTATTTCAATACACGCGGCCTTTGGCCACGAAAGTGTTGAAGCATGAACATGGACAACATGAAGGGGTAGTCCATGTGCGAGCATGGCTGCCTCCATTGCAGTCGTGGGCTTGTCGAGGTGACTGTCGTATCCTGTGTGCTTGCAAATAGGTCTAACATAACATTGCTTGGCACAAGTTGAAACATTCATCACAACTTGTAGTTCACAAAAGCCGCACAAGAAACCTTGGATAACAGTTGGATTATTTGACTTAATGGACAACAGAGATCAATTATATTCTAAGTTTAAAAATAATCCATCTCGTGAAGAACTCCAAAAGATCAAAACATATTGCAAACTTCTAAATAATCTGACAAAGAAAGCAAAAGGAAATTATTTTTGGCAAAAAATTGCAGAGCATTAGTAATACGAAAAACTCCTTGATAGTCCTGAATGAAGCCATGAATGGAAGAAAGTGTATTGCCTTTTTTCCAAGAAAATTGAGCACCACTATTTTGGGTCAAGAATTCAAGGTTCTTAGTGAGATGAAGGAAATAATGGAAGAATTTAATGTTTTTTGCTCAGATAGGAAAACCATTAGCTGATGAAATAAAAGAAGTATTAATTCCATGCAATACCTAAGAGGAAGCTATGCAAAATCAATGTTTATAAAACCATTTCAAAAGGGAGAGATTTTGCGATGTTTAAAATTAATTGATGCAAAAAAGCAATAGGTTATGATGGGATTCACCCTCAAATCTTGAAATATGGAGTAGAAATTATTGCAGAACCTCTTACCCATATATTCAATCTGTCTATCATCAGTGGAACAATTCCTGAAAGCTTCAAGCTAGCAAGGGTTAAACCCATATTTAAAGGTGGTGAGTCCATGGCCATCAATAATTACAGACCTGTGTCAATTTTGTCAGCTTGCTCAAAATCCAGAGAAACTTATGTGAAAAAGATTAATTGGCTTTTTTAGAAAATCAGAACTCTTGGGGAACAATATGGATTTAGACAGAATAGAAGCACTAATGTAGCACTGGATGTGCTCATGAATAAAATGAGAGAACTGATTGATGAGGAAAGTAAATGCATTGGAATCTTTATTGACTTCAAGAAAGCATTAAATGCAGTTTCTCATGACACATCTTAACCCCTTGAACACACCAGAAAATGAATCTGAGTGCACCCCTAATACACGAATTTTCTGACAATATTCATTATTTATTTCACAAACAAAGCATTACTTGACATATTGTTTATTATTTATTATTTTGTGGCTACTTCAGCTCTTAGCTTAGGGGTTCTACAAGCTTTTGTGGTATTTCTGGAAGCAGTTCTTCATGTGTAAGCTCACTGCCTGCACTGGCAGAATTGCCATCTCTCCTATTGCTTCACCATGCCTGTCATTGCTGTCACCGGAGTCATCAGAGTCATTTTCTGAATGCCTGCTAACATCATCTCTTGAAGAGTCAAGTTCCATACTTGAAGATTCATTCAGAATTACTCTACTCATATTCAAGGTCAAAATCACTCTCACACAATAAATCAAACTTTCTTCAACACATTTTCCCTTCCTGAGTGACGCCTGACTGTTTATGGGGAGAGTGCACAAGACAGGGTACTTTTCTGCTGAAAAAAGCAAGCTTTAACCAGAAGGCTGTACTGGTACGATATCTGCTAAATATCAGAGGAATGACCAGCCATCGTGCAGATGTCACAGTGGGAAATTTCGAAATTTGCATGATGCACCTCTATGCATTGTGTATCAGGGATGGACCTGGCCCATGACGCATATGGGTGCGTCATAGGTGTTCAAGCGGTTAAGAAACTCAACTATCATGGAGTCTGAGGAATAGTACAGGGTGGCAACAAAAAATGTTTCTCATTTGATTGACCTATATTTAAATTAATTATTAAAGTAGAAAATTAAATTACATGTCATATGATAGACGAACTCAAGTTTTTTTTAATGTTGGGAAACATGTTCAAACTGTTCATTCCTTTGGATAATCACTTTGTAACATATAGCAGTGTTTTCAATAACATTGTCTAGTGTCTTATGTCTTATGCCTCTGAGTGCTGTAACCGCAGAACATTTGAGTCTATCAACAAAAAACAAAACAAAACAAAATAATCAAATAACATTTTGTTGCATCCCAATCTGTGGCGAGCATTTGCATTCTAATTCAATTCCTTTTTTTTCTATTCCCTTTCTTTACCTTTTGCTTCTTTTTTTTGTGTATTGTCTTTCATTTTTTCATTATCTTTACCTTATCTTTTTGTCCTTACCAGCAAATATGTGGAAAATGTGTTCTTTTCTATTATATGAGTGGGCACATCAAGGATGAGCTGTGAGTAGGTTGATCAAAATAGCAGCAAATGAAGGGAACATGTATGTGTTGAAGCTGTGATTCTGAATGGCTATTGAGTGACATTGGACAAACTGGTCAGTACTGTTGGCATTAGTCATGGAAATGTTCATAGCATTGCTCCACCATGGCTCAAAAAATCAAGGGTGCTATGGTCTTCTTAACCATGACATGAGAGACATATAGGGGTTATGGTCAAGGTTATTGTTTTTTGGTCTTCAAAAAGGTTTGAGGCGTTGGTGATGAAAGTGAAGTCCACTGGCTGCTTGCAGCACATTAAGTGCTTCAATGAAACCTTTTTGGTTCACTTTGTGCACTCCTAGTTTGAGGTATCTCTGACATTATTGGTTTGTCTTCTGCTCTGCCATCTTTCCTGAAGTACCAAAAGCTTTTAACTATTTAACTTGTCTTTGTGTATCCATTGAAGAAGCTTGGGGGAGTACCCAGTTTTTTCTAAAGAGGTATTATATATTTGTTCTTTTCTCTATGATTCCTTCATACCTCCTGGGGTTGCATCTTGAGTTTCATTGTGATGTTCTCTTTAACTATGCTAAATCCATCTGCACTCTTCTTTTTTTCTGCACGTTTGTGATTGATTTGAGGTATTGATGTAATAATATTGAATTTCATGGTTGATGATGATAATCTCTTTGAAACTCCCATTCACTCAGCCCCAACTCTTATTGCTTTGCCCTGCACATATACCTGTTTTTCTCCCACCAGGAAATTTTGCAAATAAGGTGAATCAAAATTTTAATTGAATCACTGTACAGACTGCTTTGAAGATGTCTCGACCTGGTGCTCGCATGGCAGACCCCAAGAAAGTGGTGAGGTCATAGACTATGATAGGCCTAAGCCTAGCCTACACATTTCTTTGGATTCGTATATACTTATCTCTGAACAAGAGGGTGTGGCATTTCTTGACTTTAGTCTATGCCAAGGCCAACAATTTTGCAGCTTGCCTGGTCTTATGAACTGATCATAAACTCATAGTTGGAATTCCAGCTTTCATGGCTTTTTCAAGAGTTAGCTATGGAGAGTTGTTAGGGTAACTTTTCTTTATTTCTTTTTGGGGATGAAAGAGATGTCTTTTGTGTGATTCTAGGCATAGCATTACTGTGGGACTGAATAGGGGATATCAAGGAATCAGCCACTGTTGAATTGCTTGTTGTCATAATGAAGATTCATTTTGAGGATACATTTTTTGTTGCAGTTCTAGTCACCCTTAGATCTATCCTAGTATTCCTTCTGTTCTTGGATTTATTCATGCCCCATGACTACTCACAAATTATTGGCACACCAATTCCTAAATTAGTGGTAGCAGTTATGATGAACTCAGAGTTTACTTTTTTTATGCAGTAATCATTTGAGGTCATTGTTGGAAGCTGATAGTTTGTAACTTAACGATGCAAAGCTGCTGTGTATTCAGCAATTGATAGCCTAACATTTTTAAGACTGTTAATGTTATTTCAGTTACTGAGTCATGTCTCTCCTGAGCTTCCAAGTATGTTCATAGGTAATTACCTCACTTTTCATGCTCAAGCAGTTCTTATATATACAGTCATGCTGAGGCAGGTGTCATGACCCTTTGGAATTATCCTAACATATGTTCTTCCTAATATAAGTAGACTCATCCCCCCCACCAAAAAAAAAAAAAAAAAACAATGACAAGGAGTTGAGGAAAGATGAAATTTGGTATACAAGCTTAGCAGTGTGGGGACCAATTGTTAAGTGAAGCCAAAATTTATTGGCATTTTAAGTGCCAAGGCTGAATATTCTCAGGGAAAACTTACTCAACACTATGTCATGATAAGGATGTCAGTGAGAGGCACGAGGGAATGTCCTGGGTTCGGTGGTGGAATGGTAGCACACCTGACCGGCAATCAGGAGGCCCAGGTTCAATTCCCGGCCGTCCCCTGGCTTTCTTTTGTCCTCTCCTGTCATCCAATCTTCCGGCCATTCTCATGACAACTACAATTGAAAGGGAGATAGAAGGGTCCTATTGATTTTCCAAGTCAAATTTGTGAACAAAGTCAAATGTGTTGCTCGACTAGATGTTGGATTTTAAGCCTTTCGTGGCTGAATTAAGAAAATGAATGACTAGGACATTTTTTCACTGCTTTTTCTATTGAACAGGCCTAGCTAAAGATGGAGCTCCTAGAAAATTTCAAATATTTATTCATATATTCAAAAAACTGAATTTTTTTAATTGCAAAAGTCATGAACTGAAAATATTGAATAACAGGCCATTCTTCACACATGGAGAGTCCCTAAAACTCGGCCTTTGTTCCAATTTTACCCATTCATTTTTGCAGCATGTGAGCATATTTTCCATATCCAAAAAAAAGGAGAAAGAAAAATTACTTTTTCATTCAAAATTCTATTTCACAAAAATATAAAAAATATCAGGTCATAACTTTTCTTTTTGATCCAACTTGCCTGACCTGACCTGACCTATTTGAACAAATGATGCATCACCAAAGAGCCCTTTTTGGGACCTATTAAGCGATACCATATAAAACAGGTTTTGCTCAATGGTAACTGCAAGAGCAGTCTCAAAAGATATGATCCTTATAATGATCATACACCATGAAAGGGTTAAGTAAAAGCATGTCAGACATAAGGAAAGTCAAATACAACAGCTCTATGTCACACCTATGCCAGGCCAGGTGTTTCATAGTAAAATACAATGAAGTTCTTGGCCCAATTCTATGCTCAGGAACACCAGCTAACCCACCCTCCCATCTAACCTCCTGCTCTAGATCTGACCTCCCACCTGCACTCTTTGGTTGTAACCCCTTCAGAGGGCTAACCCTGACATATTTCACAGCCAAATAAGATGATTTACAATAGCCGCACACTGATGCATATGAAATTGCACTTTGTGAAAATTCAAAAGGAAGACAGTGACTTGGCATGGCCAGGGTATATATGCCAATCACATTTGGCTTACCCAATGTGTAATATTATTTTTCTTCAAGTTCAATGTCCAGTACAATGATGGATTTTATTTTCCTCCTATCATTTTAAACACTTCTGTGCAGCATGGCAATGCATTTGACTTTTTCATCTCCTCATTTCACCTGAAAAACCTATAATTACCTTTAAAAAAGGCACTCATTAGGAGTTTATTAATGAATTGTGGAATGGGAACTCTTAAATAGATGTGTTTCAAGGTCACAAGATGAGACAATGCAAAGGGAACTTTCTTAATCTCAAAGGAATGTGAGAAGACGGCATCATTGATAACATCAAATTTCCCCCCCCCCCCCTTCAAGTCCCTTAACCTTTCACCATGACACTTGAATATATTTGCTCACAGAAAATCATTCCACTAGCACAACTCCTGAGTGGACTCATTTTCAAACTTCATATTCCCAGTGCAGGTCCCCATAATACTGTGCTTTCAGTTATTTCTATACTTTATCTATTCTATACTTTAGTTGTGATTGCTTTACACCTGGAACACTTGAAGAAAATAAACCAGCACCAGGGGGCTACTATGCCTTTTAAAACTCCATCATAAAGGATTAACTATTGGACCATTATTGAGTGTCTAACTTATGTCTTCAATGGTGTACTTGATTAGTTTGCATCTGATGCATCAAGCTGATGCATGCATCCCAATTAAACTATGTTGATCAAACTCTCAAACAAGTTGATGAAATTGTCATTGGAAACTACATCTTAGCATGGTTTCACAGACACTTAATGACCCATCATCTAAGGAACTTAGGAAAGAAGGAAAGGAAACTTGAATCTTTAATGATGCCATCCTCTTCCCCTATTCCTCAGGCATTTAGAGTTTTCTCTGCATCACCTCATCCTATGACCTTGAAACTTTGCAGGGTTTTCATGGACATCATTAAGAGTTCTTATTTTGTATTTAATTAGTAAAATCATTAATAAGACTAGCATCTTTCTGAAAATGCACTGAACTGATATGTGGCAACATATTTGCCAAAATGACATGAGCTGCTTCTTTGACTCATGTGCACTAGTGACATTCCCTGATTAGCAAATTCACACAATTGAGATGGAGTTCAATAATCGATGCTGCAGTAGAAACTTTTGCATGACAAGCCTAGCTTTATAATGAGATATATATTGTGGCAAATATAAACAGAACCCATGAAGGACTCTCAGACTGGACTTACAATAATATTCTAGGAAGAATTATTATCAGCAGAACTTCCCACTGAGGAAAATGATAAATCTTGATTCCCTTTTCTCAGTTACTGGACTCAGCCCCATAATATAAATGCTTAAATGGTACATCTCACTACATTTCCATCTTTAGTGCTCACCATTTATGACTATTGAACCCATTGGCTCTGCCTGATCAAGGAGTTACAGTTTGATAATGATTTGCTTTGGCAGAGTTCAGAGCTCTTCACATTGACTTATGGAGCTCTCGTGGCTCAGATGCTCAGAGATTATGAGAACACAGAAGAAGTCAATAAGAACCTGGAGAAGCTTGGCTGGAGTATTGGGGTCAGACTCATTGAGGACTTCTTGGCCAGATCAGGCTCAACAAAATGTTATGATCTGAAAGACACGGCTGAGAAGATTCAGGTGTGTTCTCTTGTAAACTTTTCTTTGAGATCTTTCCTTTTGGGATGTCCCTTTTCCCCATGTCTTTGTTTTCAGGCAGGGTTCCGTATGTTTCTTGGTGTCAGTCCATCCATAAGCAACTGGAGCCCATCTGGGGATGAATTCTCCTTATTCCTGGACTCAAATCCGCTGACAGACTTTGTTGAACTCCCTCCCTCCCAGGCAGCTCTCAAGTACTCCAACATCATTCCTGGTGTTATACGAGGAGCTTGTGAAATGGTATAGTATATATAGTATAGACTCTTATTATGTCTTGTCTGATAACTTTATTTGTCTTCCCATGTTTCCTAGGTTTAAATATACCTGATCCAGAGGGATATATTGTACCATACTATACTATCAAGAGATATTGAGAACTATCAATCACTTTTAAGAGACTACTTATTTCTTGGTATGCCATATGTTTGAAAGAGATCACTTAGAGGCTAATTTTTTGGTATGCCTTTCTGACAATAAAAACGTTTCTTGTCATTTCATCAGTATGTGAGACAAAGTAGAGAGACACCAATTTCAAATTTCTGTCAATGCTCTGATACTCCTTCATAAAAATGGCTATTACCTATTCTGATACCAGAACTGATGTCATGTAGAGGTCAGATGGCCTTTTCATTGAAGAAAATTTACTGCACTAGTTGTTTTTATCTTCATACTTAGCTGCAATTTTTACATCCCTATTAGTGACTATTCCATTGATTCTAAAGATTATTCTTTCCTGGCTTTAACATATTAGCTCTCATGTCAGTCCTTATGACTAGCAGCTATTAACACTTTCAGCCCTGGGGATTCCAATGCCAATTCAGTGAAACCTGTGGATTTGGCCACCTCCTATTTGCAGCTGGAAAAGCACAGTCCTGGGGCCTGTTCCTCGCCTCTGCTAAACTTAAATTTAAATCTTAGTCTAAAAGGTCAGGGCGAAGAATAGACTTTTTGCTTTTAGATTTAGATTTAAGTTTAGCAGAGGTGAGGAACAGGCCCCTGATCATTAGCTCCATAGACTCAATGTTAAAATAACCTGTTTTATTCAGCCACCTGCCTAATGCAGCCAGTGGTCAAGGATTTGTAGACCCTCTCTGCTGGCTGTTAATCTGGCCAGAACACAGGAAGGAAAGATCGCAGGTTTGTTTTCTTTCTTTTTTTTATTTCCCTGCCATGCAGCTTCCCTCCTTTCTTCCCTCTCCCCTCTCTTACTCCTCCCCCTCCCAATCCCCGAATTGACCCGTTGCTCGGTTGTCAAGGTCTCATCTCCAAAGTTTCTGTAGAGAAAGAATGATCAGAGTGTTGACCTGCTGCTAGTTCTGTGTATCTTGCTCCCTTTCTTAAAGGCCATCAAGTGCTACAGAGTAGCTGAAGTGCTTTTTGGCAGAGAAGGGGATGCACAAATCAGTTGAAGCGATTACAAAGCTTGAAGCGTCTCTCCAGGAGCAAGTGTGCTTAAGCAAAATGTGCTTGCATCAAATGAACATTCAAGACTTCCTCACAATGAATCTGATAAATCAGAAGTATGGTACCTTTGGAGTATACAATGTATTTAATTTTCCTGGAAAACTGACTGGTAAGTGCTTCACAGCTTGCCTAAAGGAAAAAGCAGGGGGGGGGAATTCCACACTTTATTGCAGCCACCTGGCAGAACTAGCCAAATGTAGAAATTCCCCCTGTGGCCATGTTACACAGGTTTCACTGTACTAGGGATTCCAATGCCAATGCCAATACTGCAATAGGCATGGGACAAAAGGTGTTAATTTTAAATTCCTGTATTAGTCCATGTGACTTACCCAAAAAAATTTTCTCCAAAGCCTTTTGCCCCTTCCACCTTTCAAAAACATTCCTATACCTAAGGTCTCAGTATTGCAAAATTAAATTCAACTTGCTGCCAAGACTGCCATTCAGAGGCAAGCAAGTCAATTTTCGAAAGCAAGCATATGACTTTGTCACTCTTGCACAGAAGGACAGCGTAATACGATGCTACCAAAGTTTGGAGCAATATGTTTTTGGGTTTGTCAGTTTTTAAAGAATATTTTGCTTGGTTTATCTTGGATTTATATTGAAGGAATGCCCATTAATGGGTTGCCATAGTTTGTTTTGTGTAAGCATGTATGTAACAGTGTCAGTGATACTTGATCAGAAAGTAGACAAAAATGAATTCAGTAATGGACATACTTTCTCCCTCTTGTTGTTAGGTCCATCTGGAAGTGCAGAGTTGGGTTTCAGGAGATCCCTTGAAGGGAGATGATAAGACAGAGATTCGTGTCAAGTTCCTCAGGAGGTTAGAAGATTCTGTTCCCCCTGGGGAAGACTGATGAATTTCACATTATTTGCTTTGAAAGGTACATTTTGTAAAGAGTCCTTGAGAGATTTCATGGTATCCTCTGGGAGTAGAGTGAATTATCTCCTGCCTGAGGCTGCCTGAGACATATGAGGTTATCAATGTTCTCATTGCGCAAGTTTGTGGTGTTTACAATATTATTATGGTAATCATTCCCAGATGCTGCAGTATGCCCTATTTATGCATCACTGCTTGAGATGTCTCTTGGATAGGTATTGGAACAGTTTCAGGAATCATCTTTTCCTAGCAGCCTTAATGTGCCTTTCTGTCTTACAATTAATCATTATCACAGATGCAGTGCAGTCTGAAGGACATGCTTGATTTTATGGAAGGAGTACTGTTTATGTAGCTTATATATCAGTGTACTCCCTCTCCTTGTTGCATGTTGTCCAGTTATGCAGCATTATTTTGTTATGGAGCCAGCCATGGCTCAGGCTTCACCATTCCTAAGGGGTAGACTGTCTCCAAGTCCAAATCTCCTTGACCTGGCATGCTTAACCCAAATCCATGCAATCAATAATCTTTCCTGCAGAAAAAAAAAATTCTAAGAACAGGAGAGGAGTTTGTGGCTTCCCAGGCATTTTATGCAGGAGCCCATATCCTGCCCCTGAAACCTTTCAACCCTTTCAGGGTAGAGTATATCAAGGATTTACTTCCCCTCCCCCTCTCAGTGGCTATTGGCTTCACAATCATGAGAGATAATGCATCACTTCAGAAGGCTTTGGACCTTATAAGAGAAGAGAGGAGAGGGAGGAAAATTTGAAGAGTCTGGTTCTGGCATGTTCCATTGCAATCCATGGAGTCTCAAAGTGAAAATCAAGAGAGAATGAACATTATTCTTGGGACGTGAAGATTCCCTGGATTAAAATTCAATTTCATTTAACAGAAAGAATTGGCTTTTTTTGTTTACTTGAATAAAAATGTTTTTGCATACATTCAGGGATGTTCCTTTATTATGCATGCTATGAGTCAACCATCATCCCACATTCCTGAAACCAGTTTATTGAAATTAGGAAAAACAATAATGTATTTATGAGTGGCTGTTTGTACGAACAAAATGAATAGCAATTACTGGTCAAGGAAGAACTCTACTTTGCTTCTGTGCCTCTCTTTTTCAGCCAAATGCTGAATCAGAACTGTACTTCTGACCAATCACTGCTAATCCATAGAAATCTTCAAGAATTTGCAGGCACATAGCTCCTGTTTAAGCTATTTTTTTCTTCTTGATGAGGACACAAGTTCTCATGTGAAAATCATAACCAGAAAAAAATCAGATTGGATTTTTGCTACCTGATTTAACCCTTTGGCTGTTAGCCCTAGTACATACTTGGGCTGTGCACGACACTTTCACGGTGGTAGCCTGAGTACGTACTCAAGCTCTGAAACTCAGTCCTTTTAGGTTGTTTCTCTATTAATGGATGTAAGTGACATATATTCGGTATTTTTTTAATATACATTCTTTTCTATATAACAGGGCTACTTTTTGTTGACGTATATGACTTTCGGAAACATTGAATAGCAAAAAAATCGTGTGTATCTTCATCGACCCATTCTGTAAAAACGGCTTCCTATGTACTTGGCTTTGCATTAGATGATGGTAAAAAAAATATAATTTTAAATGCTAATTGAGACATTTACTGTTAGTAGTGAAAATGAAGGTGATGTAGAAATAGAAGTTGAAGCCGAAGCTTGAGATAAAGATTATGATGATGGGTGGAGATGCAAGCAGGAATAAAGGTAGACCAAGGGAGCGAAAAACTGTTGATATACCTGAGTTTAGTGAGAATCCCCATGCATCTCATTTCTTGACTTTTACAGGAAATCCTCAGTTAAAATTGAATATTCTAATCTCCCTGAGATAGATGATTCTGAACTAATTTTCACAGATGACCCGGGTCAATTTATATGTTCCTCGCAATGTGTGCTCACAGATACCTTGAACATGTAATAACAGAAACATACAGGTATACATTTGCATCAGACCTTATTTTTAATACAGCTCTTAGCAAGTCTTATTCAAGGGTAAAACAAAGGAGAAACCTCTCTGTATAGGAATTTCATACATTTATTTTGACACTGATTTTGATGGGCTTTGCAATACAGCCTTCTATTCAGTCTCTCTGGAAACTGATAAAACTTTTTATCATCCCTGCTTTTGGTAAAATCAAGTCTGTCGATGGATTTATACGCATCTCAAAATTTCATGCACTTTTCTGACAACACTCTGGCTGTTCCTGGAAATAAATTTTTAAACACATTTTGGTCTATCATCAGTAGTTTTCAAGATAGGACAATTTAAGCATAAACCATAGTTCGCAGAGACACAGTGCAATAACACAGTGGAGGTCATGAGGGATTTTTTTTTAATAGTGAAAGGGTTAATGTTCATTGTGTCAATGGCAGATATGTAGGGTGGAAAGTGGGTGACCACCTGCTTATCTTTGCAGATGAAATTATCTGAATTTTCAAATTCATACAAATTAAAGTTCAAAATTAAAAAGTTTCAAACTTGCCTGAAGGGTTCATGGTTTCTGTGGAGGTCTATGACATGTTTATTTAGGAGGGTAGAAGTTCACTTCCCTCAGCGACCTCCTCTTATATTCTCTGACCCTTTATCTCCTAGCATCGTTTCCCCAGGCTCATGGGTTGCCTCACCTTGAAAAATTACTGGATCAGCCCTTGACCTTGTCATGCAAGTAGCTGTCTGGTAGAGTGCATATTTAGAGTGGTTTTTAAAAAAACGCTCTACCGTTTTCTATGGGAGAAACACAGTTTCATAAATGTAGCAAAAAAAAATTACCTTGGATACGCGATCGATATTTGACAGTTACAAGGTGTTGAATGTTTGTCAGCTTTTTTTCAGCACCCCTGCCTACTATAAGTCGTCCAGCGCCCATTTAGAGTTAAATTAAAGGTGCTTTGAGATGGATCATTCCACCTCAAGTGAGGTGATTACCTATGCTCGACCGTCTCAGAATTCAATGAATTTTTCAACTTTAAATTTTCAAGGGACAGTTGGATCCAGCTGATACTTGACAGAGAGGTTCATGAGTCAAAGGTTTTTGTTTTCACTTCCGCAAGATGGTGCTGTTTCCCGGTAGAGGGCGCTGTTGTTGACCGAGTGACCGAAGGTGATTTAAAAAAAAGGTTCAATGCTCCACCTGTAAACTGTTTAACAGGACAATACTTGGCTCAGAGAATTGTTCAGAAAAAAAATAGGACAATCTTTTCAACATCTCCTATATGTCCAATATCAAGAGTTTATGAATCTAATTTTTTTTTATCGAATACACAAATCGTACTTCCTCCCCTTTGAAAACGTTGGAGTTTTTTTTTATCACTCTCTTTCACCCGATCAACCACAGCGTTCTCTATGAGGATACAGCGCCATCTTGCGGAAGTGAAAAAAGAAACCTTGACTACATGAACCTCTCTGTCAAGTATTAGCTGGATCCAACAGTCCCCTGAAAATTTACATTTGAAAAATTTATTGAATTCTGAATTATTTATTGAATTCCTGCTATTGAGACGGTCGAGCACAGGTAATTACCTCACTTGAGGTGGAATGATCCATCTTTAAGCACCTTTAATTCACCTCTAAATGGGCATTGCACGACTTAGGCAGGGGTGCGGAAAAAAGCTGGCAAGCATTTCAACACTGCAACAGTCAAATATCGATCGCGTATCCAAGGTAATTTTTTAAAGCTACATTTATGAAACTGTGTTTCTCCCATAGAAAACGGTAGAGCTTTTCTTTTTAACCACCCTATATTTCAATGTGAAATTTAATATAATAGCTGCAACAAGATGCTTTGCTTAATACTGAATTGCATTTCTTCAGTTTGTGTAGATGCACAAAATGTCAAATAAATGCAATTTTGTCTTTGCAGAAGTCTTGAAAGGAACAGAGTAGTCATTATGCCCTTTACATTTTTTATGGGGAATTTCTCCTTGTGAGAGTTATGATTAGTGGTTATGTATAAAGGGTACGGAAAAAGTTTGGTGACAGTTGAAAAACTTTATTTTTAACCATAATAACGTTGATTTCCGAAATGTCGCTTGCGTTTTTGGAGCCTTTTATTTTTCATCGTTTCATTTTAAAAAAAAATTAGCTTTTCGAAGCTTTAAGAATTTCAATTTAAGATCCACTTTGACAATTTGACGAACAGTGCGCTCGCTTATTCAGACATCTTTCGCATTGAGCGCCTCGGATTTTCTCGAATTTTGCGTCAGATTATGTTTCTGTTTTGTGGAGTGTTTGCGGTCCTTATTCTTCTGCTGCGAGGACGCTCTTGAATATGGCCAAGTGATATCGTACAATGGTTCTATGCACCGTTTGTCTCGCGACGCCGAGTGCTTGAACAACTTTCGACGGAGATTTTCCAGCCAAATGAAAATTTATGATTCCGTACCTCTGGAATTGGCGACCCATATCTCTGTAATTACGAAAGATGGAGGTGTGATTTTCAAACTGAAGATGGCTAAGAAGGAGACAAACCAAACTGCGTTCACAGAAATTTAAATTTTTCAAAAAGAAAATTTCAATAAATCGTAACATCTGTCACCAAACTTTTGCCGCACCCTGATACATTTACTACTTCTTTCTGATGAGTAAATATATGTATGAGTGAGTTTCGATACTAGTAGTAACTTTCTATTCGAGCAGTAAATTTCTATTTCTAATTCTTGAATTTTGGGTTTCAAGCTCATATTTAACCCAAACTCGAAAAATTGCATGATGTATATATACGTCAAACCCAACTCCGTTTCGCCATGACAGATTTATGTACTGTACATCCTACCCACTTAAGAGGTTAATATGCAGCTTTGTAGCAGATAGATTTGCATCTACTTGCTGATATCGAGTTTTCAAAATTTACGAAGGAAATTAAAATGGGAAGGAATATTGGTGCCCCCCCCCCCACAGATGACAGCTGGCAAGAGGGATGTCAGAAAAGTGAATACTGTCAAGATAAGCACTCTTAATGATCCATGGACCATCATATCATCTGGAACAGAATTTTAAGCATTATATATGTACAGAAATAAAATAAGCGCATGATTGATTCATCGTGATTGGGAAATCTTGCTCATTTTTATGATGATCCATGAGGTAAAACTTGAAGTGACAAGGAAAGATTATGCTATCACATATGATGTCACTGTCGTTTTTATCATTGTTGTGTCTTGGATATGAATATAAATGTGAGCAGTTCTCTTCTTCTCTTATGAACTAGCATCCTGACGGAAAGGGCGAATGTACAATTTCAAATGCTTCCAGATCAGCGGCGTATTTTACAGTGGGGGGGAGGGAGAGCCGCGCCCCATTGAATTGAATAACTTTCTCCCCTGATATCGCTCTCGTTTGGCGCCCACTTCGTTGCCTGACCCTTCAACCAAAATACGCCACCGTTCGAGATGGTTAGCATTTGGGGCTTTTTTGAATTCAGAATAAGAATTAAGTAATTTTCAGTTCATGTTGGGCTATGAATCTGAGCCTTAGTTCTTTTGCAGAAAGTGAGTGCTTGCTCCTCTTGCAGTTATCGAAATTGCATTTTCGCCCTTCAGTCAAATCATCAACTCTGTGCAGGCCCACATGTTATGGGATCTTGAAAAGTCTTTGGCATCTCAATTGCATTTGCCCTTCACTTGGGATTCTTCTGCATTAGGTCATTCTGGCTCGTGGTCATTTAATTCCCACTTTTAAAGCATTTTAAGGAATTTCCAGCTCTTCAGCACCAGTCAGTAATACAAGTCAGAGTGATGATATTCCTATATCAATTGTGATGGGCGTGCTGGGAGCTTTTCCCATGACGACTTGAACTTTGAACTCTTTAAATTGAATATCAGCAAGGGGATTAAAGTTATTGGACATCACTATGCTGTAAATATCTGTAATACAGATATCCAGGAAGGTTTTCATTGCTCTGTCCAATTCTTATTAACTTGACGGAGCCCGGCAGTCGTAGTGTTACGACATGCACGAACATCTCAGTATCCGGAGTTCGTACTATTACGCAGGGCTTCGAAACGGAATTTGTTTTGTTTCACGATGATTAATTTCGTTCCGTTCCGTGTCACTGTTCCACAGGGAACTTTAGCGCAAACAAACATTTTTTCATACCCGTGGTGCGTCAGCTTTTTTTTCTCTCCAAAAATCGCGATTGCAAAGGTAAACATGGCCAGGGTATTTGGAACGGAACGGGACGAGATTATTGTTTTTGAGAGCAATCAATTTCGTTCCTCTGCCATCAGTGAATAGCGTTCCATGTTCCGTACAGTTCCAAGGATTTTTCTCCTTCCGTTCCGAAACCCTGCTATTAAGATCACAAAAATTTGCGCTCTTGTTAAAAATGGAGAGGACGAGCACCATCACCGGGTTTTCGTACCGAGGTGGGCAAAAGAACCCCGTCCGACCACTAGATGGTATGGGCTGTCCTTAGCTGCTTTCACAGGAGCAGCAGAGAGAAAAATTGGATCAGCTGACAAGCTGATTGCCAATGTGAAGCCGCTCCCGATCTGTCGCTTCAAAGCGAAAGGAACGGGTTGACAGAATCAGATATTTGTGATGAAATACTGACAGATTCCGGGTCTGAAATTGAAGAACTTTCAAGAGGTTCCGATGATGACTTCTGCTCGGATGGTGTTGGTAAATGGGAAGGCATAGGTAAAGTTTTCAGCAAGAAGGGTAAACACGCCGGTCAGAAAGTCCGCTTCTACACTAGTCATGTGTAGCAAATGTGATGTTGGCCTTTGAATTGGAACCTGCTTTGTGGTCAGTTACAAAAGAGCCAAATACTGGAAGTGAAGAACAAGTCTTTGCTTTTGTGCCTTGCCATTACCCAAACAGCACAGGTATATCCCAAAGATATCCCAGAGATACCACGTATTCCCTTGGGACAAGTGCGATGTCCCAAAGACAAGGGGTAGGGACATCTTAGGGATATCAAAATGTCTGGGCCCAATGACATCCCAAGGATATCCCTTTCTTGAAGAAATAGCGCATCCCAGAGATGTCCCAGGGATATCCCATTGGGACAAATGAGAAGTCTCAGGTAGTACTTGTAGGGGCCTTCCTACCCATATGGACTCATTTCCTATCGCACAGGAGAACCCTTTGTTTTCGTAGATGTCTCTATTTTATATAGGAACACCTAATCTAAAGTTCTTGATCGATTGAAGAGTAACGATTAAGGGGGAGGAAAATACCATTCTTAAAGGAAGCCCCATCATAGGAGACACATCTCCAAGGGACGAAATTTAGCACTTTTAACGAGGGATCATGGATGATATGATGTAGTCTTATGCCTTTCAAATAGTATGGGCTCAGGCCTCCAACCAATATAGTTGTATTCAGACATGCCAATCAGACATCATTAATGAGAATATAAAGGAATAAATTAAAATTCGGACCGCAATTTTTTCACTTTCCCTGGTGACAGTTTTCCTTACGTATGGTACGAAAATCCTTACTTTTCCTCAGGACAAATTGAATAGATGAATTTGATAGAAAAGATCTGAGGTTGTAGATCAGGGCTCACGGGAGCCATCTACCGTCAAAGCTGTGCACCTGACTGAAGGCGACAGAGAGCACTGAAGATGCCTAAAGACATCCCTAAGATGTCCCTAAGACATCCTCCTCAAGATATCAAAAAGCGTTTGACTGAAGATATCTTCAAGATACCCCCTCCAGGATATCCAGAAGCATTCGATTAAGGATGTCTTAAAGATATCCCGAAAGGGATATCTCTAAGATATCGACTGAAGATGTCTAAAAGACGTCCCGAAGACATCCCTTATGAGATGTCCGAAACTGTCTGAAAGAAGATGTCTTCAGGATATCCTATAAAGACATGGGGACAAGTCATCCAGTTAGGGACATCCCTGGGATATCCCTGTGCTGTGTGGGAAGTTCTGCCACCTTCATCATTCTCAATTGTTTTCTGCTATTTTTGAAGCCAGGGAATGCATGAGTCAGAAAAACACATATCAGCTCTCGATATCAATTGGTCCATCAGCTATTGATGTCAATGATTGGTAATGATACCATAAGTTATCGATTTTGTCTACATGGTATTGGCTATCAATTCTAGTCTTCAGACCCTGCTTGAAAAACTCTTTTAGAAAGCATATTCCATTTGATGGGAGATTGCAGTCACAGCATTGCCATGCAAACATTGCTTAAAAATCATGCCTAGATAAAGTACATAGAAGCATAAAAGGAATATAAGAGGGATTCAAAATGCAAGCTGATATCTATCACCCCAACAAGCAGTCACACCTAAGAAACAATTGTGAATCCATTCCATTTTGAAACAGTGTACATGCACATTCATCTATATATACATGCCTATAAACCACCTGACAGATATAAACTTCCTGTCACCTCCTCCTCCATCAGATTGAAGAATGTCAATATCCCTGTCACATAACCCAGTTGTAGCCTGAAAAGAAAACTTCAAGACAGACATGAATTTCAGTATGAAGGGAGCTCAGCTATATATAGTCTTTCATGCAGGGAATATATATTTTTTGGGGGGAGGGGAAGCAAACATTTGTCCAGATTTACAGCTCCAAAAGAGCAAAGGGAATCAGTCTTTTGAGAGCAATTGGATCGTGTGAGTATTTTCTTGGCTTCACCATGCAATACAGTTATTGCCTCCTCTTACTTTCACATGGATTGAAATGTATTGACCTCCATGAGGACCACACCCATGCTTGGAATCTCAGTCTCCACCTGCCACAGGAGTTTTGAGAAGGGAGGCCCACATGATCTTGAGAGCCCCACTTTTGCCACATCTACATAAGTTCAAGAAGTTGCCTTGATTCCATAAGCATGTCCTTGATTTTGTTTTGAACACCTATTCCTTCACTCATCCCACAGAAAGTGAAGTCAGGTCTTTTAGGTGCAGCCAACATCAAACACTTCTTGAATGCATGCATTCAGAATGCAGGTACTCTTTTTGCAATTTAATTTGCAAACTCAGAATAAGAAATTACAACCTTGATGTAATGAGCTGTTACATGACTCTCAATATAAGGAATAGCTTACCAAATGCACCCAATAAACATACCTAGATTGTGACATCAAACTCTAAGCACACTTCAATCAAAACAGTCTCCAGACATGAGGACACACACCCTTTGGTCAGAATAGAAGATGAAAACTTAATCTGAATTGAGTAAATTTTCCTGTGATCAAAAAATGTCAGAAGGCATAAACTAAAATGCCATTGGTTAACAACAACCTTCTGGGGTACTAAAAACAGTATATCTCACTATATCTTTGCCTGACTTAGGTACAAGGCACTGTAAGCTTCTTATGGACACTGGAACGAGAATCCAGGTCAAAATCAGTTATGGGAAAATATCACACCACTGATTCTAACAATGAGAAAGAACAGTGCTTGTAGGAACGAAATACTGAGATGATCAAAGCAGAATGTCATTAGCCTCCTCCTCAGGGTATGATTTGTGAAAAAAATGAATGAACAGGCCATATAATCAGCAGAACATCAAGCACTTGATTACATGAACAGCACTGTTCTGAAACCAAGTATCCCCATTTCTTATAAAACACCATCACAGCATTCAAATTCCATACCCCCAGACCACATTGCACCATGACAGCAGCGAAATTGCAGAGTACCACAGTCAGCACCATCCAATGAGAAACCGAAGCACACAACCTGGTATGAAGGGTTCAATCCAGATGCAAAGCCTCGATTGGTGGTCCAGGGGTCCTCTAAGACAGGGGTGTCAAACATATGGCCTGCAGGCCATATCTGGCCCATGGAGGTATCTGCAGGGTAAGGAATGCAGCCCACTAACAAATTTGAGTTTGACTCCTCTGCTCTAAGATAAACTGTTATTCTCTTCCTGATACCACTTCCGATGCAAGGTTCTGGGAATGTTCCATGAACTCTTGCTGCAGAGAGCAGAGGATAGAGCATAAAATAAGCTGATAATAATGCTACTCTATACCCTTTCAGCAGCAGCTGGTTGCAAGTATGGCAAGGTGGGTGTGACACTCACCAGTTGTGCAATTCAAATGTAAGGGGAGACAGCAACAGCCTAGATGGGGACATATAGAGAGATGGTGATCATATCAGTGGAGACCTCTTCTAATGACATTGACTTTCAGTCATACTTGATGTATGAGATGATGTCAAAAAGTTCTGACTCTCAGCTAAAATTAATTGGGATCAGCATTTCCACATCATTGCATTAGCTCATATTTAGGAATATTCTCTATATTTGTCAAAGTAAAGTTATATCTTTCTGTCCACTCTTGGAAAGCAGCAGCAAAATTGTATTTTCTGGTATGTTTGCCATACTGGGAAATCACAGAACCCATAGCAGGCTGACTGGAAAATACTTGCCAGACATGTTTGTGAAGTGTTTGGGAGGTATATTAACAAATTGTTCATAAGCAACAACCAGTTCATTGCTAATTTTTCCTTGCTCTGCAAAGACCCAGATGCAGATCTCAGCAGATCATAGGTCATTGCTTTTCTTAATTAAACTATGCCACTTTCACCTCATTTTTGATAAAAAGAAATCAGCATTAACTATTTTGGGCATAAAATATCACATTAGAAGGAAAAATATAGGGTATATAGCAAACACAGAACAGGTCACAATTAGTATTTCTATCAACACATTAAAAATATTTGATCAAAACTTTTTGAATGTAGCTCATTTGTAACTTGAACACCAGTCTGTGTTTCCTATCCAGTGATGTTATTTCAACTAAGTCAATCTCTGGATTGCCCCCAGGATACCTTCAGCATGCATATCAGAAAAATCAGAACAAGGCAAGGCAAGGAAATAGAGACAGAAGTAGAAAATAAATGTATTTTTTTTTGCTTTGCAAATTGCACTCTGTGTATGGGGAGTATAAAGTTTGCAGAATGACAGAATGATGATTGAAGAGAAATATGAATGATTTACAACCTCTTCTGATCATTACTAACTGATTTTTGAAAAAATTTAAAGCTTTTAAATCTGCAAGTGAGATCGAGGGACAACAATTTCTAGCAAGGGAATTTTGCTTAGGGTAGGGTAGAAAGGGGCATAGAAGCACCAGTCTCAAATGAACATACTTGTATCACATGAACTTGTATCACAATCAGCATTCTACTTGTACCGCACACTGAAATTCCCTTGAAATCATGAAATGAAAATCCTGTCAATCAAATTGAGTCAGCAAAGATGAACTAGGGAGTATATGTCTGACCCATGCAGGACTGGGCAATCAAAATCCCACAGTCTATCAGGCAATTTAAATGCCTCAAATATGAAGGCTTCACATATTTAAAATGTCATGGGTAATAAGCACCCACATAAGCTTGTATTTAGATGAGTTATGATGAATAAGAATATAAATAAAATGTAATACATTTCAACTGACACCTATACACTGGTATATGCTGATCATTCCAACAATAATTAAAATGAGCAGCAGGAATACAAAATCTCACATAGCTGAGAAACAACTTTGATCCAAATGGAAAAAAAAAAGACTAGGTCAAGACATAAACAG